GTCGTGTAATCACCGATGAGCCAAGGTTTCATCCTCTTTTAATATAATCGGTGTTCGAAAACACAATAGAATCATTTGTTCCGCCTGGGCATTTTCGGTCTCGGTGTAGTATCTCGTTACAACATATTACAAAATTTATCCGTCTATTGTACGCAAGCTATTTGCAAAGTTGAGGCAAAATGGAAAGGCGAAATTCTAAAACTGTGCTCGAAAGGAAGTATTTTACGACGAGGAGCATTCCAGTAATCATAGAGTGTACACTCTGTGAAAGCAAGCTTGTCGTTTCGATCGTAATTTACGTGGTCGAAATAGAACGAAAACATAACCGGGCATCAACTATGAACAGGGGCAAACATACACGTTGTCAAAGGAAACTATTACCATCGTTCGATGAGCAATACGAGAGTCCTTATAAACAGTTTTTGCAGAATCAATGAGAGCATCGATTTAACGAGCTCGGGTAGAACCGATACGGGAATACGTATATACTTGCTGCATGGAACCGTAACCGTAACCGATACAGAACCGATATCTGAAAAGCTAGTGGGACCGTGACCGAAATCGAGTTTTTCGCCGTTTTGGAAAACAACGGTTGTTTGAAATTGTTTGGAGAACCGGAATCGATATTATAACAGTTTGCAACCCCCGCTGCAAAGGGAGCGAAGAGCGCGCAGAGACATTACGGAGCTAATTTGAAGAAGAAAAAAAAGGGGGAAAGGTCGTGGATGGAGCGGGATGATTCGTTGCGCGAACGAAGAGAATGAGAGAAAAGGAAGCGGTGGAACACGGGGTATAGCAGGGTTGTAGGGGTGGTAGGAGGAGACACGACGAGGACCAAGAGATCGCGGAATGGAGCAAGAGTGGAGTAATCAATACGCATTCACACGCGGTGGCTAGCATCCCGTTTCCATGGGGACCGACATTGGCGCATGTGCAACCGTGCCAGCGTTATGCTGTCATAGAAATTTACTCAGATACAATTCCGTCCCTGTCCGGCACGGAACTACCAATCGACGATCTTCGAATCGCTTCGGATTGCTACATCCATGACATCGTTCACGCGCATGCATATCTCTGTCGCATTGGAATTCACCGCGGTCTAAATTCAAACCGGATGCAATCCTAGTTTCCAGCGGAACGAATCAGAGTTCGTTTTCGACGTGCACGATCTCGGAGAGAACGCTGAACACCGTGAATGAAATTTTCTCATTTATTCCCGCGTTGCAACACGCACAAGCAAGAGGAGAATATATTTTTCTTTCGCTCTCCTTGTCTCCCCGCCGCCCCTCCCCCCGCGAACTGCATTATTTTTCCTTCTATTTGGTTGAAAATTTAAAAACGAAGCTAATCGCGTAGAATCGTTCCCTCGACGACAACGGTCATGCTGGTGTATCGTGTTGTCACTGTAGGGTAGAGTATGTTCACCCCCTGGCCAAGTCAGAGGGGATGGCGGCGTTGGTGTTTGCGGGTAACAGGGGGTGCTTTTCCCTGAGGCGCCTGCGTCGAGTCCTCGATGACGACTCGACGAGGTAGGTGCTCGACCCGGACGCAGTACGGAAGAAACGTCGAGCACGCAGAGTGCCGTCCTCGTGACACATCTTACCCTTTCTTTTCTTTCGATCCATGGCAACAAGAAAACGTGGTAAAGTTTGTCCGGTGAATCGATCCGTCGAGAATTGATCAGTGACCCTAAAGTTCGATGAAATCGTCACGCGTCATCTGGAACCTTCTGTCATTGCAGTGTCCCTAAATGAAGAAGACATTTATCGAAGGTGAGGCAAGGCGAAGGTTGTCAATGACTCGATGTCGCGACTAGATAAAAGTTGCGTGCAATCGCTAAACAGTTTCAAATGATCCAAGTGACACACCGAACATCGTGCACAAACTCAACGGAATATTTCTTGTCAGCGTTTACGGTTTGCGAGGTTTCGTGTGGTGCATCTGGTCAATATGTCGCGGTGAAGCAGTTTAAGGATGAACCTAGCTTTTGTCTGCGGTGTACTCTGTGCAAACTCAAGCACCGCGAACAATTGACTCGGTTTCTTCGCTACGTGTTACGCTACCATCGGAAACAACAGGTTGAAGGTGGATTTTGCGAGATATCGTTCCAAGAGATCGCTAGAAACGAGACAGAGATTTCGCGATTGCCTCGTAACCGTACGAGGCCACGTCACCCGACAGATTCGAATATCTGCCAATTAGACGATGCATTTCCGGTGAATCAAAGGTTAATCATCGAAGAGCATGCAGCGATGTTCTTACCACCGTAAAGGCAGGCTTAGTCGTATTTAATCGTCGCTTGCATATGGGTCACAAGTTGCATTCGCCAAAGCTAACGGGATAGAGGGTTTACCGAGTAGAGAGGTAAGCTTGTTAAATTCCGTTACCCTCGGGCATCTAGCGTTACCGCTAGCCCTATGCTTGACTCACTCTCCTTAACGTTGTTAATGTTTTTCGGCGTGGTCCTTCGAGATTTGCCGTGGGTCGAAGCAGCCGAAAACTTTCTACACACCTCTTAGTAACCTAACCTTTGTCTCGAGACCATCGTTTTCATATGTTTCCAAACATAAAGCATGAGAAACGAATCGTGTTCGAGAGCGAAACTCGTTTAAACAAGTATAAATGGAATGGACGATAGTGGATAGAACCGTAGATATTATTCATAAATTGTCAAGTCGGTTAGGTTGAAGTCACGTGGTGGATGCAGTTTACGGTGTCCTTAACCTCCCGGAAAATCAATGTTCTTCACGTAATGATAACCAGGTGTGCTATTCTATCTCCTTTATGAGCCAAGAAACCGTACCGCGGCAAAAACGAGCTGAGAACCACATTTTTTAGCATAAATACGACACGGGTACTTATAGTCTTCTCGCGTGTTTCGATTCTTAGTGGTTCTCCAATGGTCGGGGTCATTTACCGTACCCGTTTGTTTGACACAAATATTTGTCAGTACAAATGGGCAGACACAAATAGCGTATAGGAAGCGCGGTATGGATCGTGACAACGTGCTTTCGGTATCTTTGTTATCCCTGCATTAATTTCATTTATAGAAACCCAACTAGGTCTAATACTCTGCTCGGGGACATAGATACAACTAGCATCGAGAAACGAGGATTATCACTTCGCGTCGCATTGTATCGGTGATTTTATTTTAAGGTTTCATTTCACGTTACACGTACCAACATTTAATACACATGCTAGCAACGATAACCGATCGGGAAATAAAAATTAACGAATCGGGAGAAGGATTCGTAGTTTTGGAAAAATGATCCCGACACGTTCGGTGTCTTCGACGATGTGGTTCAGATTTACGCGAAACGCAATTACATGGGACTGAGCGAAGTTACATAGATCCTACCGCAAGTGACACTAGTGACACGTTGGAGGGTTTCTAGTGGATGTCATTCAAAACACGCGTTAACCGGTAGGGACGTTTTACATCGCGACTCGATGCTGACAAGGAACGACTTCCCCTACTTCTCCCCTAACAATGGTAAAAGCTTTTTGGGGAACGTTGGCCGGATTTGGAGCGAGATTAAAAATTCGGATTGCCTCTCGAGTAACACTTCGCTTCTTGATGCTTTTATACGGTTCGGCGAATCAACACAGGTCTAAAGTTCGACGCGATGCGCGACAGGTATCTTCTGCTTCCTCTGCAGTGCTTAACGTTGCATGCGTCAGATGACTTTTAGTTGACGTTCGCTGAGCAGAAACAAGAAAAACGTGGAAGAAAGGCGAAAAAGGAGAAAAGGGGGAAAGATTCTCCGGCAAAGGTGTCCAGTGAAAAGTGGTTGTTTGCTTGCGCATCCACCGTAATGAGTGCCAGCCTTGATTCTCCGACGTAAGAATGCGTTAACGATCTTTGGATGGAAGTTTGTACAAAAGGATGCTGTTATTGCGCAGCTGGAAGCTCGCGCTATTCGTTTAAAAAATATCGCGCATCCCGGTTCGTGCAACGTGGAAATAAAAACCGTGAAGTCGCAGAATTCTTAAAATTCGATAGATCTCGCTTGTCGCGATGCATTACCGTTTTAATGACACCTGGTGCAGGAAGATCGACGAGAAGGAGAAACAGTAGAACGAACGAACGTCGGGGGTAGCAGGATAAGCTTCCGGAAGATATATCCCTGCAGTCTAAAAATCCGATGAGTCGATACCGTGAAATCGCTGAAAAATACCAGGCACGTTTCTTTAATCCTTCCCCTCGAACGATCGCTCGAACGAGGGGAGTGCGAGTCTATTTTTTTTTTTTAAATCCATGGAGCAGATATTATATCGGTTGTCGTACTTTCCTCGCTCCCGGTAGACCGGATTCGTTGACGAGGTGCACGGTATATACGTTCCATAAAATCTCCACGCTTGATTCTCCCCTGTGTATTACGTCCATTTGAAAGATCACGTTGAAACTGTCGCGCGATTAACGACGCTTACCTTCCACCATGAAATCCAACGGATTATTCTCGCGTGAAAAAATCGTAGCTTTTTCCTCGAACGTCAGCTACTCGCTAACGAAAAGATCAATGCGTTAGAAGCGCGACGAGCAGCAACTAGCAGGAAGGGTGATCCTTGGACAAACGACGAAACAACCGGGAAAGGAACATCGTGCCGTGTAATACAGAAATCAAGAGAAGTGCGAGTGTCGACGCGATAGAGGAAATTGTCTGACTACGCTCCCTTTTCGGAAGCCGGTAGCGGTAACGCATCCCCTTGCGACTCGAGTTAAGCAGGGAGAGAGAGAGAGAGAGAGAAAAGGAGAGGGGCGAGGAAGGGAGGTAGAGGAAAAGCTTTTCGTTCACCCTCTCGTATAATTCCTCCCTTCGTCTTGCGAACGAAACGCGAGTCGGGGGATGAAAATCTAGTCGAATCTTGGTGTTCGCGTTCGCGGCATATCGAACCTGAGAAAAATGAAATTCCCGCCATCGGTCGATAACGCACCGGTTTCCGCGGTTGTCGAGGGTTGCAGGAAGAAAACGCTTCCCCGTTCAGCGTTCAAGAGTCAGCAGTCGAAGGGATATCGCCGTGATAAAACAATACTCGAGAAATAGGAGAGGGCTTCGGGAAAAAGCGTCAGACTAAATTCATCGAATCCATCTCTTTTCCGGGCTTCTTCTCGATTCGATGAACAGCGATATTTCTCAAAACTCGCGGCACGTTCGAAAGCTAGAGAATAGGGTCAGAACGCTGTTTCGCGGAATAGAATAGCAAGCATGTCTCATCTCTCCTGCATTTGTTTCTTGTCAAAGGTTCCGCAACGAAACGTCAACGAGGCTGTAACTTCTGTTGACACCTAGCGCATGCCATTGCATAGTGCATTGAAAATGTAGCGTTGATGCGACGTAAGAGATTAAAATGACTCGGTCTTTGAGTATTTCCAGAACGATGAACGCCGAAAGCAACGAGAACAAACGAAGCGTCGACTGCGCGTTTTCGCAGTCGCGCACCATTTGACGTCGATTTGACAAAGTATGAAAACAAAAATTAAAATACAGCAACAAATGAGACGAAATTCCGAATGGAGACTCAAGAAACTCTTCCACGTATACATTTAGACGCAATTTCACAGGGGACACGTTGCATTTCCATACATTTGAATCAGACCGCCCACTACAGAGGTTACATCTCAACCCCTAATTTCTTTAACGAGATTGAAAAGTTGACATGGAATCGATTTGTCTAACGCATCGTTTAATCTTCGTGTCTCGTTAATTTTTAATATTTCAGAAGATACTTTTGCTTCGTTCTGATCCGCGGACAAAACCCTTATCGCGGAAGGTATATTTTTTACGTAATTAAAAATTTGTTAAAGCAACACAACGGAGACGCGCGTTCGTTATTTTCCCTGGTAGGTCCACAGATTTCCCTGCGCCGCATTTCTTTAGCGATACTGCACAAAACGAGCGCTACATACCTATGGGGGAATCCTATTTGTACCGGCGCGTCTACCGGCGAGCGTATTGCTTCGCAGACGTATTTGCGTACGCGTGTTTGGGGTGCGTGAGGGTGCATTCGTTTACCAGAAACTCGATTTCGAAGCTTCGGTAATTGAATTTCAAGTACGTCTACGTGGGCAGCCGTTGATACGTTTAAAGCCAATATAGAAGGCAGTTAAGGGTAACGTGTTCCGTCTTTTTCCTCTAATTCGTGACGCGAGAAAGAACCAAGAACGATGGATAATAATTTAGATAAAGATCGTCACTGTAGAACTAAAGAAAGAAAGAAAGAAAAAAAGAAAGAAGAAGAAACCACGATTTCGTTTAATTTTTCAATGATCGGTGATTACCTCGAGCGAAACGTTAAATCGTTTCTTTATTCAGATCACTCGAACTAATTTGAGATTTCGTTGATGCAGGAAGAAGATGTGGAGCTCGGTTACTGCGGCTGGCACTGAAAATGGGCCCGCACCACCTTCCAGAAGCAAGCACAGCGCCACTTTGCTCGCCGGGCACGTATATCTCCTCGGAGGACGAAACGGCAATCTTCCCCTCAAAGATCTCTGGCGATACAGCCTCGGTAAGTGATAATTACTATCGCTTTTAATATCTTTGTGCAGACTGTGCGAATAGTTACTGCGGCGCTTTGCAAGCAGCGACGAAATTATGGAAGGCAAAGGAGAAAGTAAAATTCGCGGATGAGGAAAGTCCTTGTAATTACAAGCGATATTAATACACGATGTCTGAGTACCCTGGGTACGGTACGCGAACAACATCTCTGACCAACGCACCCTACCATCTAGCTCTCGGTGAACGAGGGTGCGCGACGGAATTTAAACGGGGTTCAGTCTGATCAATAATACGCCATTATTAAAGCCCACGTATATCAACTAAATCCGTCGGCGATACTCCACAATTATGGCCGTTTCCACGGAGATCAGACGTACGCGAATTAATTGCACCCTCATGTAATAATCATACGTGATTCATGCGCATTGCAGGCAGCATATTGGCCATTTCGTTCTACCGTTCCCTCTGATTCGATCAACTTTCTCGATCGAGGGTAATATATTGCTCGAAAGCACACACAGTTTCCCATGCATACTGCCACGTAACGAAAAATCAAACACGTCCATTAAGGGTTATCCCGTTTAAGTAGGCAACCACTTTGAACCTAGCCAACTTTCCATTTGCCTGACTGGCAACGCTTTGAACGTATTCCCGGTGGGCTCGATCGACCAATTGCGGGACAAGCCAGTGAATTCGCGCGAGCTGATTTTAAATTCGTCCATGTCCCCATTACGTTCTTTTAGAAAACGTTGAAATCTCGTTGTCCGTCGATCGACACGGAAACGAACGAGACCTCGTTACACCGCAAGGTAATTCGGTGTTTGACGCGAAATGTGTAGCAGGTTCGTAGCGTAATAGAATTTGCTATGGTTGATCGTATATTCGCGAGATGCCCTATTCATCAGAAGGGATTGTTCGACTACAAGTTCGGATGAATATTAAAGCGGCGTCAGAAGGGTTGGACGCGGCGGTTTGTCTCCTGGGGGCAAATACCATTCGAGGACCCCTAGCATGTTTTAAAAGCATAGCATCGTCGATACTTGATCTTGCAAAAATATTGTGATAACTCGAAGAACCGTAAGAGTACTTCATCTTTGTGCGTTTTGTTTCACCCTCCTTTTCAACCGGTGGGGTTTCAAGGGGTTCTCTTCGTTCAGTGTCTATTCGTTAAACGGATTTCTATGGTGACATTGGAAAATTCGTTTCTATGTTCCGTCTTTAGTGCCTAGAAGTATGAGCACCTTCGCGTCTTCTATTAGAAGCGATTTTGATCGCGAACGTTGCAGATAGGAATATTTTACTCGAACGTAACAGAGGTCTGCAGTGGATCGAATCGTTCCTTCTCGCTCCGACTCGATCGTTTCTTCATCAAAGTTGTAGGCTAGGGCTTGCTTCTTTATTCTATGAACAGCACTTTTCGGACAAAAGAGGGCATTGCTTCGTAGCCAGCTAGATACGACACGTGTTCGTAATCAATGTCGGGCATCTCTAGTGCCAGTCTAAGAGAGCTGCAACTACTTGGGCCAGCACATTATGGCTCTTACGTAAATTTCATACGCTTTGTTCTCGAGCACGAACCAGTGCAAAGCTGTGACTTGGACATTTTACTTACGAAACTTTCTTTTCATTTTCGTTTGAGATTGCAACGGCGAAGGGTAGGAGAAGAAATCTTTTGTTCGACATCGAACGAGGAAACCTCGGCCTTCCTTTATTCATACGATATAACGTAACTTCATGCCCCGTTGATTTCCTTTGCCTTTATTTTTCTGAGCGGATTAGGGGAGCGTCCCTTTTCTCTTTTCGTAAAACTTCCGAAGGGTAAAGGATGTCTGTCTTGTTAAACCCATGCAATAAAGGAACAAGTTTAAACGCACCCTTCAAAGCATCAACTTAACGTTAAATGAATTCGCATTTATTTGATCTGCTTTACAATATGCAGGTGTAAAAATCATGCACCGACTTCTGAAAAAAAGAAAAAAAAAAAAAAAAAAGAAAAAAGGAGGAAAAAGATCAACCACGTTCCGTCGTCATATTTTTGGTTCAACACGCGATATTATCATCTCCCGAACTTTTCGTTTTTCAACACGTCCTTGACACTGCTTACATTTAATCCCCCGAACCTACTCTTACATTCTCCGTCTCCCTCTGTTTCTAAGAAGCCCCAACCACTTGGAGGATTTATTTCAGAGCAGCAGATTGCTGGGGCGGGTAAAAGTGTGATTTAGCGCGTCGAAAAAGATTTCAAGGTACCCCTGAGATCACGACTCTCTTTGCGTGTCTTGCTTTTAATCACGCACAACGTTGCATCGATAAAGCGATTTTCCGGCAGCACGCGCACGTTTCCGGAGATAACCTTAAAAAACAGGGCACCGCTTATACCCTTAAGTGGCACGACATTCTTTATCCTCGTGAAAGTAGAAACTGGGACAACTATGTGCATACGTATCGTGTGTTCTAGTAGAAGCAGGTAATTAAAACGGGCCACAACGGCATACATTAAAAAACTTTACACCCCACTAAATTAAGCATACCGTCTAGATACAAACACGCGGCACCGATAAGACGGACCTCTTTGTTTTCCCTGTCGTTGCATTTTTTTAATCACAGCTTCATCGTCCCCTCGCGCAAAACGTGAAAAAGCGAGGCCGCATAAATCTTGTTTATCCAGCTCGATGCAAGAAGAGAGAAAGAGAGAGAGAGAAAGAGAGAGTCTGGAATATGAAAACGTTTGGAATAACGAGTCGTCGCGTTAACCCTTTCTTTATTTTCTTTACAGCCGACAGCAAATGGGAGGAATTGCATCCTGGGGGAGAAAGACCGCCAGCACTTCAGGAACACAGTGCGGTAGCTTACAAGGATTGCCTGTACATTTTTGGGGGAGAGCTCGGTTTTTCCGCAGGCACGGAAACGCCACTTTGGGTTTACAATGTCAAGGTAACGTATCACCTTAGGCAAACCGTATTCTCCCTATTTCAAAGAAGGTTACACGTGTCATGGCAAAATGGTCATCGCGATACGAATCGAAGCGAAATATTTATACACGGGGCCTCGTCCTATCCGTGCCGATCATATTCGTTAACAGAATTTAGTTTCATTCGAATTTAGGCGATTCGATTTGGCGAGGCTACGGTGTAGCCTCCAGGCATTTCGTTCCATCGTGTTTCTGGCATCGTAGCGAGGGTTTCGACACCCTCGGTTGAATAAACCAGACGAAGGACCATGTTATTCTTGATTGACAATATCTTGCTCCGATGCTTTTCGTTTAGTCTCGTTACCGAAATTCGTAACACAGACCATTCGGAACAGACCAATTTCAGCGAGATGCATAACCAAATAGATGAGCAATCTTCCCCTTTGCCCGTTTCATGCCACGGCTATTGTTTTCTTCGAGGATTCCTCGCCACTTTGCGCAACACAATGGTAGAACGCAATTATACGATATACTTGTCCCTTGGTTGTTCTTCGTTGCGTGTCACTAGTTTCTGAACCCAACCCTTGCCCTTCACGCCCCCATGAAAGACAAAGCTGTCACATATGTACATCCGATACGTCGGACGATCACGCTCCGTTCTTTTACGTGTCGTTTCTATCGTTGTTGTGGTTTCCCGTGGGTGTTATTCCGTCATCCGTCTTCAGCTTCATCGGCAGCCCCTATGCACTTTCTCTACCCTCTTCTCTACCCTCTCGCTACTGTGTAGCACGAATAACATCGTTAAGGATTGTCATCGCAAGATGCGACTCCGAGTTGTACTACATCGTTATCAACCACTGTCAGATGCGACGTTGAACCGACCGAACCATTTTTCCAATTACCATTGCTCCCTAAACCGAAACAAAGACTAATCGTACCCTATATTTCAACTTACGTTTTCCGACGAGTTTCGCAACAGATCACGCTTCTTTACGCAGCATCCTTGTCATCCTCGTGATGATCGACTTCCGTAGGTGCTGATAGTCATTTATCACTGTCAAGTCCAATCTATCGCTGTTACACCTCGTTGGTATAGAGCTCTATCGATCGATACATATATCACACCATATGCATACTCGTTTGTTCCGAAGTGCGGAATAACCGCGGAAAAAATCGATACGACTGCATTCGATATCACTGTCCAATGAATTTTAATTTCTTCTCTAATCTGTAATCACCCACAATTTTCGACAATCAGTGAGGTGACGATTTCGAAAACTGAGGGTGATGGAGCAATTTCGATTACGAATTCGTTTTCTGGGAAGCAAACTCCACAAGTATTGCCCAATGGATATTACGGATTAAAATTCGCGTTGAACAGCGTATTTAGCTGTATTTGCCAATCCTTGGAAAGCAATCCGACAACAATTTTTGGCAACAGCTGGTGTCAACAGCCCCTCCTTCCTCTTCCTCTTCCTACCCTCGAAATTGAATGGCGCTTATCCTCCCAAGGGCTCCTCTACCCTCAACCTGTATAGCATTAAAAATTGATAAACTCGGGGTATCTATGAAACGCAGTATCAGTTTCGCGTAAATAATTCCGCATGCTTTCAGCAATATGTATTGTCCGAAGGAAGAAAAAGCACGAGAATAAAATATGGAAAAAAATTTGGATGCAAGTACCATCTTTTTAATTTTTCGATGGATCGACAATCTTTCCTTCGCTGCGTTGCTATGGTTACTCTTCTTCCGTTTGTTTTTACTCATTGGAGCATGTCAGAGAATAGGGATAGTCCCCGTTGCTTGTTTCATCGCAATGTATTATTGAAATCCGCGTTACGAATGCGGCAGCCAAACCCGATTGGTTAAGCCAGAGGGGTTGCTTCGCGGTAAGTTCTCTCTCCACTTTTTCGTCTTCCTACCGAGCTTCGTTAAAATTTTGTCTCGAGGCAAATGGAAGGCAGAAAAACCATTTATATTTCATATTTTGCTCGATATCCCTGTTTACGTTGCTTAAATTCGTAAACCGACGTGTTTGTAACTCGTATGCGAAGATTATCCGGAAGATCGTGCCACTCCTTCGAGTCTTAAAATCGTTCGTATCGTTGATGACAACCGTTTCCTCGCTAATTTTACAGCGTTTTAACGTCGATGGCGAATTTAGCTAGTACTCCACCCTTTTGCGACCCCCTCGTGTCGTAATACAGGGTAGACGCAAGTGGCTATACAGACCTATCAACTTTAGGCACGTACTTCGAGTTACGTAATTACTTTCAGCACCCCAGCTATATAGCTTATATACCTTCCTTCCATCTTCTCTCCTTTGCATGTACGATCGTAGACCCTTGGCTAAGCCAACGCATTTTCTTTCTTCTCCTTGATGGTACACATTGGCATACTCGCGCAAAAGACCCACTGTGATTGCCACTACACATCAAAAGCCACCAACGTTCGTGCTATTTCACAGTATCGTATGATTAAACATCCTCGGATATTTTTATCATTGTCGCACCATATAACATTTACATATACATGTCGGTTATATTTCTGATAAGTATAGAACAGGTATCCTTCTAAAACAAATCGTGCGTTACTTATGTCCTATATCTTTTCATCGGTATTTTTTCAAGGTAAACGATTAAAAATAAACCGATGCCTCTGACTGACGAGCTATCGATATTTTATATTGCATCTTTATTTCATACCATCTACCTGCTTTTTTAGAATAATTTAGAATACGATGATCCGTTGTTTGAGAAGCGATTTTCGCAACCTCGAGTTCTAAACTCGAGGCTACCGAAAGGACGAAATAGGGGGGAGTGACGAATTAAAACTCTTCTGTGCCTTTTGTTACGTGCAACCCCAACCGTATCCTGCATTCAGGAACTTTCAGAAAATTCGCATGCTTGGCACGGGAAGAATTAACGAGTATGAGATACATATGTCTCGATTTTCATTTCTGTTTATCGAGAATTCGTTATTTTTAGACTAACATGTGGAGAAAAGTAAGAGCACAGCAAGGTTGCGCGGTTCCCAGAGGTCGAAGAGGTCATACCGCTTTAGTTCATCGTGGCCAGATGCTCATTTATGGCGGTTACCAAGATTTACGTGGCAGCTCTCCGGAATTATGGGCATTTCATTTCGGTAAAATTACACGATACGTATATAACGCGTGTACGTCGACATGGAAATGCTTGAGATACGGTTAATGTACATTTCAGAAACGGAATCGTGGCATCTCCTTTCCTCGAGCGAGTGTGGGCCAGCAGCGAGACACAAACACTCTGCTGTTTTACACGGCGACGCTATGTACATTTATGGGGGTATGACCGATCTGCAAGAGAGAAGCGATTGCTGGCGATGGGACGTAAATACCGCCGCTTGGTGTTTGTTAAAGAATAAGCCAGGGCCAGGACCTCTTCACGGTCATGCAGCCTGCAGGCTTCCCAGTTGTATGTTAATTTTCGGTGGTGAAAGCGGTGGTTTAGCTACGAACGAACTCTGGAGGTTTCATTTCGGTAAAGCATCAAAATATTAACAGAGATGTATCGCCATCTTCCAAATGATACGAGGTGAAATTTGTTGAAAGGTACGGAAACATGGGAAAAATTATCAGTGCCAGGTCCTAAACCCCAGCCAAGGGCGGAAAGTGTTGCTTTAGCGGTTTCCGAACTGTTAATAAGAGGGACCAATATCGATAATTCGAAACCAAGGCCGAGAAATCAAAGAACGAGACTTTGTAACAACAGAATATCGCCTAACGAAGCACCAGCTAGACCGAGCTTTCTCAAGGAAATTTCTAAATTATCTCAAATTAATCTATCACGACTAAGTCACCCGACAAAGTGCAGCTACTCCGTGTTAAGCGGTCAAGATGATAACGAGGAGAGTCCTCAAGAGGTACGTGTCTTCTTTCAGTTACTCGTATTAAGAATAAAGGCATCTTTTCGTTGTTTATTTTCATTTACATCGTATACGCACACATCGAGTTTCATATCTGCGCACAAAATGCACGTGACAAATGGGCCTGCCTGCAGGCGAATTCGTATTATCCATTTCAGCAAGTGGATTCCGAAGTCGTCGAACCTTCTACGGGGATGGTAAAATCTCGAAGCGCGAATACGCTAGCTCGTCGAAGACAAAAACCACCGGAGGCAACATCCAAAAATATGGACACGAATAATAGCAACAACGCAACTAGTGGTAGTTCCGGCATGACCAGGGATCCTATCTCGGTACCGAATTTCCGTGCTTTGACCTTACCCACTCCGGTCTTGACACCTGTGGAAGCAGCCAGGCTCGTTTTCATCGATCCAGACGAAAATAGCGACAACGAGGAACGAAAAGAACCTCCAACCTCCAGATTGATAGAAGTCCAAGAGGAAAGACGGTAAATATCTACAAGACTGTCGGATATAATCGTTGCGATAGTTGCGCAAAAGATACGAGTACAGATCCTGCAACATTTCCAGAGACTTCGCGGCAGTGCATCAGGCCTGTCAACCAACACGGGGAGAGAGTTACAGCTCGCACCTTTACGAAGCGGCGCTTCAAACCCCGAAAACACCGACTACTTCTAAAATCCCTACGTCAGCGTCGGTTCGATTCGCTGACTTGGAAGAAGGCGAGGAATCGACGTCGGATTATGCAAGTATAGAGGCTAGAAGTCCCGGTGACCCTCTTGCCGACGACGATTGGCCGTCAGGACGAAAGAGCAAACAGTATCGTCCCATCGTCACGTCATCGACGATACGCGAAGGTCAATTCGGCTTTTGTAATCCAAATTATCTGGGGCTGGATGAAACGAAAGGTCACCATCAACAACAGCAACAGCCACAAGATGGAAAGTACGCAAAGTTACTGAACAGCCCACCGGACAGTGTTTTAGAGGACGAACCGGGAAGATCGGCCTCGCAAACATTCGCGGAATTATTAGAACTTCAAGAAATCAAAAGAGTACCAAGGGCACCGCCTAAAAGTTTACCATTAGGTTCTCCTTCTAGAAGAGCAGTCAGTGCGTCAAGAGCCGAGCGACAACGGGCAAAAGTTGCTGCAGCTGACATCAATGAATCGGAAACACCGTCTTACGGACCAGCACCGCTTTACGTTTTCCTCGTTGGTGGAAAAGAAAAGGGTCAGGTTACGGTGTTTGCGAGGCCTGTTTCCTTGTGGAAATTGCAATTAGCGCCACACATTTTTTAAAGACGATTAGTGTATTTATTTTCTTAATATTTATATCCATTTTAATAGCTCTCTGATATCGGATAACCGGAAGAAGATTTTCTTTTTTAAAGAATTCCTTTGTTGCTTGTTACTTTCAGGTCGATAAATGCCATTTTCTAGTGCCAAATGTTATATGACCGTAGTTAATAATATATTTACTTAACTCGTGTAGTGGGCTTTCCTTATTTTCTTATTATACGTTATTGTTGATGACTGCGTGTCTGTTTCGTTAAAGTGCGTTTAATTTAAAGCGTTGTCGAGTTTGCTTTTTAATCGTTTCTTTTAATAAAAGATGTTTAGCTTTTATAGATATCGATATCATAAACTATACAATTAATATAATTTATAGTGCAATATCAAATGTGATTAGGGTAGCGAAGTACTCGAGCTTGCGATATCGGATTTTGAATCGAACACAGATATCGTTAAATGACGTTTTTCTTTCTTTTTTCATTTTACGAAACTGTCGAATGTAAATTTTCTTTACATCCAGTATAGAAAGATCAAAGGCTACGTTTAAGTTTCGTCTCATCTCGTTCGAATAAATACATTTGTCATGTCAGGTCGTTAAATCAATGAGCCAGTGTATTAATTATACTCCATCGGATAATGCACCATGTACATGCTTATCTTCTTATCCATATACGAAATAATGGTACGAATTTAGATTCAATGTTAATTTAATTGTTTCTCCTTTTATTCTCTCGCCTACTTTGCTACATTTGCATTTTATAACAAACGCAATGGTACGCGAAACAGTTACGTTCGCAGTATAGATCAGTGAATGGAAATCTGTAATTCGTAAGTTTATATCGAACCGATTAATTTAAGATGATTGTTCTTTGATTTAATTTACAAAATAAGAAGTAATATAGAACAAGTGTTCATACTAAAGCGCAAGTCAAACGAGTGAAGTGAATAACCCTTTATCTACGAATGCGTCCTGTCAGTCTTAAGTGGTATACGTAAGTTTCATAGAGTGTTACAAGAATTACGGTTAAGATCGATACGTTAGATCCTAGATTTACCATAAATGATACAATTTTTCATACTATACTAGATAGAAATGTAATACGAGTGCTAGATTATTCAAATTTCACAACACGAAAATTTAAATGTATAAAAATATTAACGTGAAAAGACTCGCCTGATCTGCGCTTAACTGCCATCGACTGTGAACACGGTATGCGTAGAGAAAAGAAATAGAAGTAATATGCATAAGCTTGAAGTAACGTTTGACGTTTAAAACATTCTGAATATTAATGGAAATCGGTGTGTGGTTGTGCCCAATGTGGATAATTAAAATGCGTTTCGATTATTATGTGGATATTAGATTTTTATAAAAAAAAAAAAAAATGACACTTAATGGAATTTCGTCGGTAATCGTGATCTAGAGTAGTATCTAAGAAAAATATCAACGGAGGCTACTTTGTTGAGTTTTGTTTTAACTTTATCACGGGAAGAGACAATTTCTAACACGCGAAACGTACAATCGTATAAAAGACAAAATTGTGTTCCAAAACGTTGTAGCGATTATAATATAACACGAGTACGAAACAGTGAAGTCGAAAGTCTCCACTATGACGGTATTTATGATGGTAGCGTATCATAGATCCGATAGATATATCATAAGTGAAAGAAATGGTAAAGTACGACGGGAGATCTCTTGTTCACGTAGAGTTTTTATGCCCACAAAGGCCCAATACATGTAATCCATCCATATAGTAGCAAAGGTCAACGTGGAACCTCATAGGCTGAATATTAAATCGTTCTTTTTAATCGCTTTGCAATCTTTTTCCATTCAATTCACGAGAAACATGATTAAAAACGTATGAACAAAGAAATTTGTCCCAATGGTTTTAATTTCAAGTACAATATATGTTTTAAGACGTTTCACTGATTAATGGGCACGTGCAATGTGTACAGATGTATAAAGGTATGCTTCGTTATACGAAACATTCTGTTTAACAGAAATATTTGATAATATTCAGCTAGAGGCCGCAAGCACCCGAAAAAATCAATGTTTTCCATTCGTAGAACTAGTCAACTTTACATCTCACAATCAATGTACAAACGTTAAGATAAATGTTTCGTAATGTCATTACACTCCTAGAATCCCTTAGCCTAGTATTCGTTTATTTTCAAATGTATCGGTATGTACATCTCTACGTTCTATGCATAGTCGCTCCCATAATCTTCACCATTTGGCGTATTTAGCGACCATAGTTGATTAACTAGTCGAAATATGTATACGAAGTATACATACCAGTATACCGCCTTCATACTTTCAATTATCAAATATGTTCATACTTGAGACGACTTTAAAAAATTTCGTACAATTTAGTTTAACGAGTAGGGGAATTTTGTAATTCAACACGAAAGTGAAAACGACGCAGCGCGTTATTTAATATAATTAACATTTTCACGTTATTATTATTTTATATAGACGATATGCATAATGCAATTTAATAGTCAATTACAATCGTGTCATTGAATATGTCCGTTGCCAAATAATTCTCTTTAGAACATCATGCCTCGTAAATAAAATTCAGAGTATAAGCTCGAAGACGTGGGTCAATTCCCAAAATGAAAAAAAAAGAAAAAAAAAAAAAAAACAGTGTAGCTGATTTGAGTGCCTGTAATTCATGCGAATATATGCATTTCATATTTTTCTGGACACGAACGATTTTTCGGAAAATATTCACCATGTTATCTTCTAGCTTATGCTTCTTTTCAACGTTACCGATGACAAACGAGGCGAATAAAAGTAAAATACATTAAAAGGCGGTATTATAATATAATGTCGAGAAAAGGAAAATAAAACGCGTGTTATTCCAATGGAATTTCATATCACAGAACGCAGTATTTTTTCAACGAGTAAGCCTTGAAACAGGTGACCCGTACTCTGATTTTTCTATGTTAAATGTCAGACAATATATATATATTATATGTACATCTATTTATATGTCCCTATTTACATGAATAGTTATGAAATTGACACCATTTTGTAAGTATGGTGATGATAAAAATATCATGTAAGTTACCAACATCTGTCCAACATATAAAACATCATAATTATTAGCGTCTTCGAACTATAAGTTAATGTAAAACTATTAGATCCGTCTGAATCGTTAAGTTGCATACAATATTTTATTTTAACACAACAAATGTATCATATGTCTTCATTCAAGTTTATGTATGTAACTATTAATGATAAATACCATGATCCAATCGTGGTATTCATATAGTTTGATAAAGTGAAATACAATAATTTAGTATCAGTCAAACGTTTTAGTTTACATAAAAATACAGAACCAATCAAATTTGTGAGTATTCAAGAAGACACAGGATAGTAAGTACATGGTAAGAACCAATCATTTAGAGCGAAGGATTTCTCTAAAGGAACAAAAAATATCCCTAGTATTTGGCGCGTAAATATCGCGCCAAATTATACAGTCATGGCGCCGAGTGAATGTAAACAGTCAGTGCAGTGTATTCTCTTATGAAAATTTTATAATTTTTGTTTCACCTGACGAGGAATTTTTAAATTGTAGTGTTTTAACATTTATTCAGTTAATTGTTTACACATAATTTATTCATAAGGAGATATGGATCAAAATAATGTTTCAGTGTCATGCTCCGTCATAATCGAATGGATTAACTCTCAAGGTTCGATACTGAAGAAAGTAAACCATCGATCAGCAACATTATATTTAATTCGAAATGATCATCGTGAAATGTTCATCGAAGTACATGCAGAAAAAGCAAAAACAAAGACGAAGCTATTGGTGAAATCTATGTCCGTTTTTAATAAATTTATGACTGAAGGAAAGGCTTCTATTAAGTTTAAAGACGAAAATTGTACATTATTCTTATCAAATGCACCGACAGCCCAATTAATCAATTTTCTGAAAACTGTCTATATCAAAATTTCAAGTCAATCAGATGAAGAGATGAAAAATCCATTAAAGAAGAAATTTCTCAATACAACGCTCGATGCTCATCATCAGGAAATCAGTCCCGTGACAAGTATTGAAATAAATAAAGCCAAACAAAACGCTATCAGCGTATCACGTGCAACGATTACAACACCATCGCCTAGCGCCGTTAAAAAGAGGAAGCAGTCAGATCAGAGTACATCGAAATCATGTATCGTGAAGAAATTGTACGAAACCCCAAAGAAAGAACAGATTACGGACGAACAAAATAAAATTTTGAATGCAGTACTTAGTGGTAAAAATGTCTTTTTTACTGGCAGCGCGGGTACTGGAAAATCGTTCTTATTGAGGACGATAATAGCGGCCCTGCCTCCCGATGTCACGGTGGCTACAGCAAGCACAGGAGTAGCAGCTTGTCATATAGGGGGACAAACTTTACATCAGTTCTCAGGAATTGGGTTAGGAACCGCAAATTTAGAGAGATGCGTGCAAATGGCATCCCGCAATTCTTCTGCTGCCTCGTGGAGAAAAACGAAACATTTAATTATAGATGAAATTTCTATGGTAGACGGTGATTATTTCGATAAGATCGAAGCTGTTGCAAGACACATTCGTAAAAGTGAAAGACCATTTGGGGGAATACAATTGATATTGTGCGGAGACTTTTTCCAACTTCCACCAGTTTCTACAAAAGACAAGAACACGAAGTTTTGTTTTCAGAGTGAAGCATGGGAAAAGTGTGTACACTTTAATTTCGAATTACAAACTGTTCATAGACAAAAAGATCCTGAGTTTGTCAAAATTTTAAATAGTATCAGAATAGGCAGAGTAACTGACGACATTGCAGAAAGACTTAAAGCAACCGCTAAACAAAAAATAGAAAATAATGGTATTTTAGCAACAAGACTTTGTTCTCATGTAAACGAAGCTGAAGAAATTAATGAACATCAGCTAAATAGTTTAGAAGGTGAATCTAAAATTTACATAGCCCAAGATTCTGATGTTTCAATGACTAACACTTTGAATCAACAATTGACCGTTCCTGACAAACTAATATTAAAAGTAGGTGCTCAAGTAATGCTGTTAAAGAATGTTAATATTTCTGATGGTCTAGTAAATGGAGCCAGGGGTGTAGTTACAAAGTTTGTGGATAATGTACCAATAGTTCAATTTAGATCAGGATTACAATATCGCGCGAAGCTAGAAAAGTGGAATTTAAAAACAAATTTAGGAACTGTTGTTCATAGAAAACAGATTCCATTAAAATTAGCATGGGCTTTTTCTATTCATAAAAGTCAGGGATTAACTCTAGACTGCATTGAAATGAGTCTTGCAAGAGTCTTTAACGCTGGTCAGGCATATGTAGCCCTATCCAGGGCACAAAGTTTGCAATCCTTGAGAGTTTTGGACTTTCATAGTCAACAAGTGTGGGCTCATACAGATGTGCTTATGTTTTATAAGAAATTTAGAAGGAACTTGCAAGAAATGGAAATGATTCCTTTAGGAAAGAAGCAAAGAATATAATTAGGTAAAATGACCATAGATATTGAAAAAATAATTTGTACGTATATATGTATGTATATTCACAAAACTTCATTACATTTATTTTACAAATTATTTTTTCAATTGGGATTTGGTCCCATTTTCCAAAAATTTTCGAAAGCGAAAACAGTAGGTTCTACTGGAAATCTTGACCTGATTTTGCGATTTTGTATTAGGAGTATGGAATATGTAAGGATGTGGCACGTTATATGTTCTATTCCTTCAAGAATGTATCAAATAACGTGTTTCAATCTGTTCAAGCAGTCGAATTAAAATTTTTCTCACCACTACTTGTTAAAAATGTGTACTAATTATCCGATTCGATATGAATTTTAATCTGTAATATCCATTGGTTATTTCCTGTAAAGTTTACCTTCCTGAAAACGAATTCGTAATTGAAATTGCTTTATCATCCTCAGTTTTAAAAAATTATGAATTTTCCTAGGAAAGCACGACATTTGGCTAAACTGAAGTATTACATAAAAAGCAAGAACGTTAGGAGGTTCATTGTTGTCTTAAAAGTTAGATGAGAGCGTCTCAAATTTATCAAGGTCCATAATTATAAGAGGGTAAAATATTTATTGGCAAGCTGAAACTTGTTAAATTATCAAAAAGTCACATTTTTCGGAAACTGTGGCAGAGCAATTTCGATCGTGGACTCATGTTCAGGAAAGTAGAATCTTCAAAAATCACCTAATGAATATTACAGATTAGGGAAAAAGTTAAAACTTGTTGGAAAGTGTTATTAGTCACAGATCGAAAACATGCGATAAAATATTACAGAAAGGATTAAATATAACACTCAAATACTTTTCGATAGTTTATTAAAAAAAGTAAAAGTTTCTAAATTTCATCGCATATAATTATTATAACAAAGCATAGATACATTTTGTTTTTCCCCTTTCAACAAATATTACAAAGTCGCACTTTGAATAACTTCATTTACGTCAATAATCGTCAACAGTTATTTCTATTGATGGTATATAACGCCACGTGTGTCCAGCGTTTACCAATTCCGAGCAAATAACTGGTGTATTTGGAACTGATTCTTTACTACTACATTGGATGTCTATTTTATACTGCCCTGCTGTAAAAAATACTACACGACATTCATGATAAAGTCTTCCATACTCCTGCAACTAAAAGGAAAGAACAAGACTGTTAATACGAAAGTACAAAGTACATATTACGAAATTTTGAACGGTAACTCACTGCCGGAAGCATGACTTTATTTGCACCAGCGATGGATAATCTCGTTTCTAGTTGATAATTATTTACACCGTTATGGTGATCTTGATAAAAATTGACGGACAACATAAGATCACGCAGTGGATGTTCTAAAGCATTACATATTCCTATACCAACACTAACGCATTCACCTAAATTACATGTAAATTCGTCCTGTGCCTTTACAATCGTATCGTTTATTTTGATCTCTGCAAAGCATACGCAATTATTAATTAATATAAGCGCGGGAAAGTTACTTGTACGATTATTCAAACATACCCCATTGTAAGGGACTCATTCTAACAAGATCTAACATATCTTGAGTGAGAGTAATGCCAGAAAGAGTCGCTTTCCCGATCAATTCTGTACCCAATAATTGCCAACGTAAATCAACTAGCGATGCGATGTGTTCGGAGCAAACTTTTTGAAGCTCTCCGATATCACCTGCTCCATTTAACTGTCAATAAAGTACAAAGAATAATGTTTGTATTTCATCGCTATAAAGTGCAGCTAATTGTTTATTACCATAGATAATTTATTAAGTGGGCATCGATCAACCGGCACAGGTATTCTACACGGCTCTTTACCCTCCATGTATATACATTTAGTTTGCGTGTAATGTAACTCCATTTCATGATTAGTCATATTTGTTACATCTAATACGAGATAAAACTGCGATGGTCTGGAAAGCATGGATGTGTCTATAATATAAAGATATATCACTTTTTCGTTACCGCTTACACAAACTTACGTTTCTGCTGGAAGTACGTCCCAATTTGTAATTTGTACACTAGGCAACATTTCAATTGTGATAAAAACCGACGAAATACGACAATAGCCTGTTATTAGGCCTGCACCACCTGAGTATTTTATTTTTAATTGCCCTTCGACGACATTTGAAGTATGTAATGGAACCGCAAGTTTCGATAAACGCGAACTCGCCAGGGAAGAATGTCCCGAATGAGAACTTAAACCAGATCTAAACGAGGAAGTTAATTCGGATTGTCTCTTTGTATGCGATGGAGAACTTAATCTAGATGGTAACGAACTGTGTCCTGAGTGAGACATTAAACTGCTGGGCTGACTAAGATATGTACTGCTGCTAATATCTAGAAGATATTTAAAACACACAATAGTTAATTAAATTATGATTGTTCGAAGAAAAAGAAAAAGGAGGAGGAAAGATTGGAAACAGTTATCATTAATATTACCATTCCGAGATGTAGGTGCTATAAAGTCTGTAGCCGCATATAAATATAAAGTTAGACTCGCATTAGCACCAGGTTGCAATGGCAATTGTGCTATTACATTTTCATCGCTCCATTTAAATATTTTACTCTCAGTTATCGTGTCTAACGTCGATTGTATTGATAATTCGATTGTTTCTATAGGAACTTGCCCACTATTTGTAATTGTTACGGTACATTCGGCACTATAACGAAAATATGGCTATTAAATTTAATTTAAAAACTCATGTTATCGATGTTATGCTTATTTATAATATAGAATATACCTCTCTCCACCATACAATGATGTACTTGCACTAGTTACTATATTATCCCCGGAACTAAAGCTTGCAGTTTGTGGTAAACTCGTAGCTACTTCGATTCTCGGTAAAGCTGGAACTACCTCAACGGTATACTGAGAATGAACCATTCCTTCCATATGCCTTAATCTACAATTTGATTTTACTCCTAATGTATGCGTACTAAAACCGAGAATTTCTAAATCCCCAACTTCTTTAGGCCTGCCTGCTAATGTTACCGCAATTGGTCCTGACTCCGCAGGAAGTGTAATACTTTCTGGAATTGATTCGAAGACTACACCATTTGTAAGAAGTCTCATATTAGAAACATGAAGTTCAAACGGCAGGGGATTAATGAGTTGCATCGATACTTCGCAGATATCACCTTCTACCCATAAATAATCTGTAAGATCATATACATCTGTTTTATATACTAAACGTTGTGGGGATCTAACTTTGTAGCTAAACTTAACTGAACATACCAACTTTACTTTTGGATATATTTTTTCTCTCTAATGACCCAAAGTTAATTGGCGTAAATAGAAACGGACCATGATCTTCCTTTACTCTTTCGATTTTCTGAGGTTGAAGATGCGGTTGCATATTTTTTAAAATAAACGATTTAGTTTTCGGAATATTGGTTAAATTGGCAGGCGGTATAACTGTACCAGAATCTAGAACCTATTAGAATAATTTTACTCTCGGTTCTGAAAATACTGTTGTCACATTTTCGGGCGAAACTTACGAGAGGTACGGGAGCACCTTCGCATTGTTGAGATACACTTTGAAGTTGCAAAGCAGTTTCTTTACGTTCATTAGGAGACAGGTAATTATACATTGTCTGAAGTAAAAATGTCATGTGTCTAGTTGCCAATGCTGGATTACCCATGCGATTAGCGGTAGTAACAAGATCATTTATCACTTGAATTTGTATAACTGGCCAACCTCTATGACTTTCTGTACAAATAAATATTCCCGTAATGTTCGCATATTACGACACATTGAAATATTACTATTTCATAAAAAGGAAATTACCAGGAGACATGTCAATAGGATCTAATGATAATTTAAATCCAGAAGCAGCTTGTAACATTAGATTATAACACTGTTGCCAATCTGGATTACGATTATTTTGAGACACGTGCCTTGTTGCAGCTAATCTTAAGCAAAAGGATGCTTTTCTTATAAAACCAAAGCTTGTGTATAAATCTGATAATGTGGTAAACCGATCAATCTAGAATATTGTACAGTTACTTGTTATTATAGCATTTACTAAATTAATAATATTCTTGAATGTATTACATACTTTTTCTTGTTCGCTTAGTGACAAATTTATAAGTATAATATTGTTTAAGTATGAAGCAGCTTGTAAGGTACAATTTTGTTCTATTGAAATTCTTGTAGCTTTAAAGCTAGCTTCTGTCTCGATTATTCCAGCATATTGATATTTGCTATAATGAACTATTGCTTCACGATATTTTTTTGATATTTCTTCAGGTAGTAAAATATGTGGCATATTACTCTTCACCACCTCTATAGCCGGTGGTGATGGTAGAGTAGCTACAGCTTGTGAACCCCTTCTAATATACAATGAACTACTATCAAATCTTTATTCAAAACATCTAACTCTTGTATTTTAAAATATTTTTACTTTACATACCTCTGCTTACCTGGACTTCCTTCTTGAAGGGAAGAATTCCTTTGCAATGGAAGACTTCTACACATATTTGGATATAGCACTAAAGCAGATGCAGCACATAAACCTTCGAATGCTGCTCCTAGCCACAACCAATCATTAACAGCTTGTAATACACTAGCCGCAGAATTATAATTGCTCAAAGCATCTGCTGGTAAACCAGCTTGAAGACACAAATCACCTAAATGTTTTGTCATACGTCCCACACATCTTTTCCTGTTATTCCTAGATTCAAGGTCTAATCCTATGAAATCTTTCTTCTCAAAAGGTGCTAGCAAGAGAGATACTCGATCTATTTTTTCACGCGATCTCTCTAATCTTTTGGATTCCAAAATCCAAAATAAAGAATTGAGACACTCCATTACATGAACCTCGAGATTAGGGCATGTTTCATCCATATAAAATACAGCTATAGTTTTGAAATTTGACGGTGTGACAAATGGTGTCGGTGGTTCGTGTATATTGCTTGATTCCAATGGCCCCAAAAGAATAGCACGTGAATCATATAATGTTGCACTATATTTTACTTTTAAAGATTCATGGACTCTACACAATTCATTCAATTCTGTTTGATTGTCGTATTTACCAAAGGTAATTAATCCTAATAATCTTCTGTGAGTTTGAAAATCACCCCAATCATTATTTTCAACTGGATGTTCTCTGACAAAACGAGCAAGAATTTCACGCGTTCCACCAGTAGAATCAGCCACCGAAAATCTACTGCCTGTCTTAATTATTCGCTCACATAACCTGCTGACAGTCTTTTGCTTAATTTGTGTGCCAATGGGCCTCAAAAGTAAAAGCAATGCTGCATGATCGTGAGCAGTTTGCTCATAATCAGGATGAGACATTTTGTTGTCGGGTACCGGACTCGACAAAATAACACTAATAGCAGAGCGCATTTATATCACTCACTACCTAGTGGTACTTTACGGTACCTAGGTTCACATAAATGGTAATTTTTAATATGGTACGACAGGTATATAACAATTTTTTAAACAAATAATTAAATCTTGCGTTCATCATACTAACAACTTACATTTCACTTCGTGTAATTGTAATTGTACGGCAACTTCTATACTACTCGCAGAAGTGACAAATAAAGTAAGAACTGCCATGTTTAAAATGGAACAAATGCGCGTGCGTGATAAGAAATTTTGTCATATATTCGTAACCATAGAAAACTGATAAGAGCTTATTCGACGATTTTAAAATATAGCAAACAATAAGGGCATAAGAGAAAGAACAAGGAAATACGGTAAAATATAGGTACGAGATTTACAACTTTTAATTTTATTCGTAATATGTATACATATATCTCTTTAATTATCTTCATAACTTACATTATACAAAATTGGCACATTGACAAACAAGTACAGCACGAAACATTTTAATTTTCGAGTCTTTATGGTGTATACAAACTTAGGTATAATAAAATGTTGGAGTATTGCAAAAAAAGAAAAGAAGTAAAAATTAAAAATTAAATTCTTGTAGGAAAATCTTTATATTCTAGAGACCTTTTAAATGTGTGCAATGATGATATGTAATTAAGCGTAATCATTTAAAACAGTTTTTTCTAATTGGAATTATTAAGAAAAAATTTGTGTAAATAATTATGAACCTCTTTTATAAAACAATAACAGCAGAATAATATTTTTAGTTAAACAACAGAATTACCCTAAGTCTAACTATATAATAATAAATAATAGTTATATCGTAAATGATAAAATTAATAAGCATTAGATATTTATTAGATATTAATATGATGCAAATATAAAGACCAATCTGAATGCATCTATTTATCTGTTTATATTTTTTTCTTAAAAAATCTAAGCCATTGCAATTATAAAGATATTAATCAATTTGTTTACCAGTACTGCGAATATAAAGATGGTACTATACCTGATTTATGCATGGTAGTTGTAATGTAGAAACTCACATATGCATCTTTAGTATTATATTAAAATATAAAATCAAGTAAAGATTAAAATTTATTTTAAACATCCGGTATGGAATGGTCCATTATAGTCTTCAATAAGCTGATGTTCATTCTAAGCAGAAAGAAAAATTTCGATAAAATATTTGCGATTCGATACAATTAAACATAATACTAAACTACAAAGGGTACATACTTTTTAACCATATGATCGAAAATGTATGATGGAATAATCGTTACCGTGATTATATTTCCGCCATTTTCAATCTCTTTAGTGATTTCTTTGTCTTTCAGTCCTATTACGTTCTAAATCATTTCGTAAAATAATAGATATATTTCTTAAACTTATCAATTAAATTTAAACATATAAGCGTTTTTCTGTCGTAACAAACCTTTCCATCAACTTCTAATATCTGATGATCCGTTAAAAGTCCGTTTCTGGCAGCCGAAGAATCTTTAACTAAAGCTATTATCTTACCATCCTTAAATTGAAACCCAATATATCCCATACTGTCTTTGTGCATAGTTACTGTGCGTTCGAACGGTCTGAAATCGATGAAATTTAATAAGAGATATTAAAATTACGAATAACTGGTAAGTACAGAACATAACTTTTACGGAATTTAATTAAAATTATACGACTAACCTATCTCTTACTACAACTTTAATCCCGTTAATATTAGCGTTTCGGAACATTTTGTGAACTTGTTCCGTTGAATATCCAGCAACAGAGGTATCATTTATGCTCAAAATTTGATCTCCAAATCGTAGTCCGGCAAGTGCAGCAGGTGAATTTTGACTTACCAAGCATACAAAGATGCCATTACTTACAGCTTGCACTCTCAAACCAACTTTACCATTTTTGTCCTTGCATAGGATTAACTACAATGATAGGATAACAAAAATTATACCACTCAATGTACACGTTTTTTCTACACATGTATACTTAAACATGAAAAGTTACTTACCTCTTTTATGCCATTCGTAACTTGTGCTCTCTGTAATCCTAAAGCCTGTCCAGTCAGTGGTGCAACCATACCTGTTACAGGCCCCGAGGTTGCAGAGATGCTTACTGCCGTCTAAAGTATATAGACCATCATAGTATATTTACAGTGCTGTAAGAGTACATTATGTTACTTACAGTACGATTTGCAAGAGAATATTCAGGCATATTTTGTGCTATCACATTTTCTGTAAGTTCCAAACCCATGTATTCTCCTAACGAAGGATACAATGTTGTAGGAAGAGAATCATAGTCAGGTGCAGAGGGATTAACTTCTTGATGCGATATAGGTGGAACATTACATTGTGATTCCATTTTTAATTGAGCCTATAAGTACAACAAAAATTAATACATACATGATAAGTGAGATAATATGAAATATTAGAAACAAGTCAAAATTCTATCTTACCTTCATCATATGATCTACCTTCAAGTCCTCGAGAGTTGGATACAAAGACATTTTGTGTAGACTGTGTAGATTTTTCTAGAAGTAATTTACACTTATGTAAAGTATGTTTTAGGAAAGCAGTTTTATTTATAATAAATCCCAAAATAAGGCAATATATGGAGATCTTAAATTATTTATTGTAACTTATGACAGAGATATATTATAAATAACAATATGAGTAGATGCAAGGAATACAAAACAAGGTAAATGTTTAGTTATCATTTTTATAATATCATGATTCAACCGCTAGTCACCCGCATACCGATATGATGAATGTGCTGAATATCTAAGAATTCTTGTACAAATATTTGAAACTAGAAATAAATTTGAATATTATACCTTTAAAAAATGAACGATAAAATATGACGCTTATATCTCAATGTACACAGCTTGAATTTAAAGTTGCACTATTTTATGCAAAAAAGCGGAGTCACACGTCTTAGACGTCACAAGAGCTACTTGAAGTATCATTGATAAGCCACAAATGATGAACAAAACAGCTCTACCAGTGGATAATGTTAACGTCAATTCCGTTAGTGCAATTTATCAATTGGTATAAGTCATTGCATATAACGTGAAATCGCAAGCAAACGATTGGGTCGTTTTTAATCCTCATGTGCTATTACGTATTACCCTCTCCATTATAGTGACCAATGACTACAGACATTCCCCTGTAACCGCGGGAAAATGCTTCAATTCAAAAATCTGTTCTAAAATTCATCATTTCATCGGTAGAATTACAAAGAAAAATGGCTCATAATTATTTTCATTTTCGGCGAGCTTATATTAGTAACGTATTCGCATTTCCATAAATAAATTTCAAATAATATGATTCTCTTTGTCTTTGAAATTTTTTCCGTTAAGTCCTAACATGTTCTACGATACACGTCGTGCAATTTTCTGAAACACCAGCAGAGAATATTACTTTGCGTGATTACTAGTTCTAGATATCTCAGTTTGCACAAAGAATTACCGAACATCGAACTTTAGATTGAAAACCAAGGCGGGTACAAATACGTTTAAACTTGGAAGATACAGAAATATCGTATAATTTTTGAAGAAGCAAGAAGAAAAATTTGTCGAAACGCATTTATCGATTGGCACGGGGAAGAGGAAGCGGAAAACACATGAAACGTGGCGACTGATCTCAACTTCGTTGACAAGTTAAAGACGGAATGTGTGAAAGGTGGGGGAAAATAGAATACGGTAGGGGAATAGCGGATCGTCGGCTAATACGTAGGTAGTATTCAGTGGTGAGGCCTCCGTGCGGGCCGTGGCGAACGAACAGGTGTTTCGGGCTTGGCAGTCGCGGTACCGGTTCCATCATATCCTAGTAGTGTTAGCAGTAGGATATCCCTTTCACTGACGCGTATACGCCGAATTACCTCGTGGTACATTTGCCGCGAAGAAAACGTAATATGATGTCGGAGACCGCAGTGACGATCGACGGTTCCAGCAATAATGCCACCAACAATCCTCGACAGGTGCCTACCGTAAAGACGGAACCGGTTCAACCTAACCCTCTAGCAAACATCACATTGAACGTGCCCTACTTTAGGACGATACCTGGTATTATTAAACTTGTACAGCTGGTAAGTACAATGTATCGACCATTTTTTTGTTAACTTTCATCCGGTTACAACAACACACACGCTTAATTAGACATCGAAATTGAATACACCGAAACCGCGTAATAACGACTACGACCTTAATTGTAATTTCACGATGTGGATAATCGATCAAAAGGTAAAAGTTCTTTACCATTCACGCATGCAATTACAATAGGAACGATCCGATAAAACAAACGCATAGGAAAATTGATATATCACATTTCCTTCAAATTTCATATTTTCCGCACAATCTGATACATTAGTTTGCATTACGTAACTGATCTCACAGTACATTTATCTCGATAAAAATAGAATATCACGTACCAGCAAGTCTCACACGTGCGTGTTTTTTCCATGCTCCAAAATTCCAATATTTGCCTGGTATTGCATCAAAGTAGGAGCGTCTTTGTTTATTAGGTTAAGTTTTATTTTTTGCGATGCCGTTAATCCCGTAGGATTTTGGCAGACATTCATCATTGCTTTTGGCGCTACGGTCCTCGTATCTTTTATGCGCCATTGTTATTTTGAACATGCATGTTTTGGAGCGTTGCGCAATTATGCGTCTGGTAAGTGCGTCGTATTTTTATGACCGTACAATAGAAAATACAATGGAGAAAGCTTGATAGCTTTTTTAAAAAGCTAAAAGAGAACGTACGTATCTTGGAATCGTGTAGTTTACACCGTGACGTTGAACCTGCAACGGCATAACTGCATAACGGTAATATTCTTACGGAACGATTAACAAACTATCATCTCTGCTATCGTAGAAGAAGAAACATAATTTTTATTCACGAAACTACGGTATCGCGTATCGACACCATCGTCGTACAAAGTTAAAATGATTTTCGGTTTCTGCGTCGCTATGATATTCCTCGTCGAAATCGATGATACCGTTAAGCGATCAGCATCGGTAAGCATCGTTTCTCTTTGGTTCACGCACGTGCAGCCAGAGACACGCCCGTTGCCATTTCCCGTTTATACTCGCTTGTAAATAATGGACGCATTGCTTTAAGTCGATGGAAATAGGCAAGCCAATGGGCGTAGTAAAATATAAGTAAGAAGATATACACGCATGGCAAATCCTGACGGTAACTTTGCAACAGTCCGGTTAAATTACCAACAAATAGAAATCAAATACATCGCGTTATTTATTTCACGAAACTTTTCCTGTCCCCGAATAGTATTCGTCGACGCAGAGGGTATGTTATCGATCGCACGTTTACGTGCTGTGCAAAATATGTCGTGGATCTTGTATTATTTACGTTTAATTTTATTCCACGTTGAGAATTTTTTTATATCGTACGAGGTAGAGGAGAGAAAAGAGATAGAGGATAGATAGATAGATAGAGAGAGAGAGAGAAAGAAAGAGTTCGAATTCCAAAATTTACAAATATCGGTGGTATTAAGAAGATAGAGAAGAAGAACCGGTTTTTACCAAAGATGACGATCATGCCTGATCGACCAAAGTCTTGGAACGATTCCCGGTCGGTGGCATAGTTTCGATGCGCTCGACACACGTCCCTACGAACTAGACACACGTTCGATGTCCATACATGTTCATCCCGATGACCGGGACCATACGTGGCGTCCCACATACTCGCAGTTCCATCCTACTGCCATACGTCGAGGCCGCGCCAACGGTATCGGAACGATTCATTAAAAATTCATGCCGTCCTTGACTTTTTCTCGATAATTTTTGTTCTCCTGCCAACCAATTTACCATTAATAAGTGTCCACATGTGCGAATCGAATCGCGTTTCATTGGAACTTTCTGCGTATCTCTCTATTAAAGTATTACCTGGAAATATAAGCTAAACGCATGATTACCACTCGAAGAATGCTCGTGAAAATATCGCGTTTATCAGAGTCTTATCGTTTCATCGCTCTGTTTGCATCGCAGTATTCGTTATGCAAACGGAATTGTTCGAACTTTGGGTTCTGATAATTAACAACGAGGACTCATCGGTACGAAATTACGTGCAGCGTTGATGGAAAATGGCACGATAGTTAGCATAACACGAATGCTAGATATCTTGTCACTCACGTGCGTCATATTTATTCTCGCGTACATACGTGTATCGTATATAGGTTTAATCTTACGTTACGTTCATACGTATATTGGTCACGACCAGAATGAATCCAGCATTTTTCAGGGTCGCCGATATAGCATAGAGACTGCAATTTTTCCAAGCGTTCACCAACTATATCTGTCTTTGTCTTTTTACGCGGAACAAGCGTAAAACCATCGTAGTTTCGTTGAACGTAAATTGGTTACCGACATTACGTCGATTCATACTTCACGCGTCGCCGAAGTCTTCGAAAGCTATATGTCACGCTCGTTTTCTATCGTGCAATCCTTGCTACAATGAACATGAATGGGAGCAAATCGTTTCAATTGTTCAATCGGAGGATCAATTTCGGTCAGGGTGATACGCACAAGCGTTCCGTAATTCTATTCGATAAAGCGTGAGAAGAAAACGCACGGAAAGGTTACACTGTCGAGGCTTGAACACGTGTATGTGGAACAAACTGTCACCGATACTGTTGCTAGCCTCGCGAGGATAAACGTTTCTTACCCTATCGAACGATCAATTTTCTGCGTACGCGTCCACGTTGTGTCAATTTTTCATGGAAAATTTTCAAAAATCGGTGTCTCCGTGTGCGTGATACGCTTCGTATTAGCGTGTTTAAAGGTGTATAGATCCAACCCGTCTCGAAACCCCGAAGGACACACATTTTAGCTAGTTCATGGTAAACGACAAACGCGATGCAAGAAATTGCGCACTATCGATTGTTATGATGATTGCAGAGTCCTAGGATCACGAGTTTCTATGGTGTGTAGGCTGTTCACGAAGCATATCCGCTGGTGCAACAAGTTATGCAGTAAACGCGGTAAACGTACGCAAGTACGTATCTTACGTGCAAGGACAAGCCGCACCTGGTAACGCAGTCCTGAACGGCAGATTCAAGTCGTAAAAACTGTTTCTCCGCGTTCGAGAACGTGCGACCAATCGATTAGATTACATCGTGAACTTTGCATCAATGATATACATATATATATATAATATTTTGTCGTAGTTGATTCGTATATTGTTCTTCTTTTCTTTCTTTTTCTTATTGACTTTTGAAATTCTGAACAATATCTGTACAGTTTTAGCATTCGTATCGCAGCTCTTACTGGCCTCCTCACCACGTGGGTGGATAGGTGCGTAAACGATCTATCTGAGAAGCAATAAGCACCTTGCGTGATTAGTCACGGATAGTTTTGATCTTGTCTTTACAGCATGACGCAAACGATTAAAAATGTAGTTTACGTAGAACAACAAGAAATATTTAGTATCCGATGATACGCGAAATACAATTCATTTTTACGTCATTCACGTAAGAATAACAGTCGATAATTATACCAGCGTAACATAGTGGAACGTTCTGTACTCGCATACTAAGATACGCGTTACTTAGGTGCTAAATCCGTAACCTTATTTAACGAGATTTACATTGCTAATTACGTAGCCATTTCTATAACCGTCGTGTATTTCACCGTGATTGTATGAACACGATACCGTGCATATTGGCTCACTGAAACTACGTAATCCTTTAACGAATTGAAATATTGCATAAATTGATTTATAGATTAAGAGGAGGCCTTCGCTACGAACGATAGCCTTTTAGACAGAAATTTTTTAATTACGACACGCGCAAAGTAGCGTAAATCCTGATAGTTTGCCAATTTAAGCGAGTGGAACGAGTATGAGACGATTGAATTTATGAGAATCGATCGATGTTTATTTTTCTTATTATTTCCTTTGTTATTTGGAAGAATGAGAAGCAAAATTGAAGGATTTAAGCCGGTCATAGATAAAATGAGACGAAATCTCATTGTGGATTATAAAAGTATTATTTCTGGAAAGTGGAGATAAAACAAGGGGGCGTTCTTAGAGTCATCGCTGTTTTAAGGAGTATACTTACGTCACCTTCTCGACATGTCTTCGCGGAACTTTATCGCATTAGTTTCGACGAGCAAAAGTGACTCGTCGAACACGTTTGATAAATTCTCTAATTTTCAATTGGAAATTTGAACTCTGAAATTTCGAATATAAATGCCAATCATTCTTACACATAACGACTACGTAACCACGATTTTAACAAATAATTATTTCTTCTTCGGGACAGATGTAATCGTAATTGATAGAAACGATTATAATTTCTCGAATTATTAGCGTAGGCTGTAGTAAGCAGTAGTCATTTACAATTAGCAACCGTATACGAATAACGCATGTGGGTCGTAAGGTTTCGCTACGAGTTATGTCTTATCTGTACCGACTTCGCGCATGCGAGTAATTCTCTTGCTTTCAGCTAGCTAAGCGGTTTTCTACATGCACGTATGGTTACGATCATGTTACATACGTACAGAAAGACTCCTGTTGCTGCTGCAACAGTTGGATCCGTTTAAATTTATATCCTTTCGTCGCGTTAATATTTAATTCATCGCGTTGTTCCCATTTTACGCACTTGCTTCGTTCTGTACTTACTCGATAAACTCGTTTGACCCTTGTAGACAGTAAACAAGACTAATTCACGCGATAATTCAGTGATTCTTGTCCTCGATTATGAATCATCATTGATGATTATTTTGACGGTGATGTCAGTTGTTAATTTTCGAACCGATTCGTTTCCTTGCAAATTTTCCTCCTTATGTATTTCTCCGATTGTTTACTTTATTAGACGTTTCGTTCCCTTTGACTAATTCCATCGCTGGAATCTTTCATTCGACGCATTATAATACGATTGTTTCTACTAAACGAAACGGCAAAAGTGTTCACCGATGCAACCATGATACGTTTCAGTTCGTTGCTCGTCAATTCCGTACCTTGCAGTTTAAGTGAATGGTATTAACGCGCTTCACTACCACCGTTATTACGATCGTTAATGTTGTGTATGTATATTAAAAGTGGCACGCAAACGCTACATACAGATTATTCCCCCTATGAATAATGTAGAACCCCGACCTATATTTCCCAGCGGCTACTTATTCTCTATAAAGTTATTTTAGGATTAGTCGTTATTTCGTTCCCCTCGCACGAGTGGAGCGAACAAATGTTGTTTACGGATAAAAACGAGTTAAAGAAAATGGGGAAGGTACGTGTACGTGTGTGTGGTTAAAGTCGATAAACTGTCCAGTCGAGGCTATCGCTCATAGTAATAACTTGTGTAGTCGTTGTTGCATGGACTATCGATGTTAGGAATTCTCGGTTGAACGTTTATAGCGGTCGACGACGTTTTCAAACGGTGAAAGTGAAATTCTTCCTTCGGTACACGGTTGCAGCGTTCCAATCCTTCGCACTTTCGCGCCCGTTCACCCTTTCGTACATTCCGGTCTCTTGTACGTTATCTGCATTCGTACTTAATTTCCATAGGACGGCGGTTCACGCAATGTCTTCGATATAAATATCTATCCGGTAAACGATCGTCGTTCACGACGGAGAACGCACGAAAGGAAAACGCGTGGCTGGTTTCTATGATATAAGAAAGTTTGATCGATGCTTGCAACCTCTAACTCTAACCGACTAACATGTAGTAGTACGAACGACAGTCGGTAAAGGCAGACGAGATGCCGAGGAAAGGGGTTAAGCATCCGTACGGGTGGACGTTGGTCGACGAAAATATCGAAAATGTAGAACGCGTGAAGCTCGATCCCGAGACGCAACGAGAACTGGGTTGTTTGGTCGGCGAACACGTGTTCCTGGAATATCCGTGGGCGTATGTGCATCGAGACGTTGTCGCGAAGTTCGCTAAATTACCAGACTCCTCGCTAGCGGTATTTCGAGAGAAAATCGAAGCCTATGAGACTGACGCGTTTCTCGTGGGCTATTCCTCTGTTAGATTAAGCTCCGACGAGTTCGTGATTTGTCTCACCGATGAAGCGAAACAGCACGTTGAACAACGAAACAAGGATATCGGCGCCATTGTTTGGCGTAAAGTTGTCGCCAAGGTGGTAAAAGCCGCGAGGCTATGGAACACGTTGGGTAGTGACTCGGAAGTAGATGAAAGCTTCGTGAAAAATACTAGAGCATTTTTCGAGATAGAGATCGTATTGCCCGGAAGAGTGCTGAACTCTGCTCGAACGTTATGCGATAGAGGCGCGAATGATGCTAGAGACAGCTATATGGAGCTCGTAAACGAAGACGAGGAGGAATTCAAGAACGTGGATAGAAGATGCATCTCTAGATCCGTTCAGACTAATCTTCCACCGCGTGAAACATTCGTCCAAACGTATCCTGAATATCCTAAAAATGCTTGGACTCAATACGTGTACGAAGATATTTTAAAGGAGGTATGCACGATCGAAGATATCGATGACGAAGAACAGCCGAAAGAAGAATCGGAACGGAACGATGATGACCGGTCGCCAGGAAAAGAAACTATTCGAAGCAAAGAGAACGACGAGGAGCCCAGAGGAAAAACGCCTCTGGAATTATTCCTAGAGGCTCGTTCGCAAGAAATGATAGACGTCGTTAAATATAACGCTGCAGTGAATTTGTACGTAGACGATATCGAAAGTTTGTCTGGGCAAAAAGACGAAATCGCAACGATTTCCGAAGTGCCTACATTTTACGAACAGGTGTCGTTCGTCGATTTAGAACTCACTGCCAGTAAAGCCGTTTCACACGTCTCGTTGCATCCAAGATTAACAGAGTACCTAGCGATCTCGTATATCGCGGTTTCGAATCGAACTTGGAGAAGCGAGTGTACAAGCGAGGGCGAGTTTCAAATTAGAGCGCTTCTTTGGAAATTGAACGATCCGCTTCGCCCGCAGCTTGCATTTGCGGATCACAGAGAAATTTATTCCGTTTGCTTTTGTCCGTACGACGACAATCTCGTCATAGGAGGCTGTTCCACCGGTCAAGTGATTATTTGGAACACGAGAGATTATTTGAACAATCGTCACGACAAAAATACGAAACTTGGAACCTCGGCGCGAAACAACTTGCCAGTGCTTAGGCCAATTATTGTGTCGGACAAACACCGCTCTCATCGCCTACCTGTTCGAAAGATTCGTTGGATATCTGCCAAATACAGGACAGAGCCAAATGGAAACTTGACAAAATCGTTCATTTCTTCCGACGTGGAGTTTCTAACCGTTTCCGAGGATGGCACAGTGGCCGTTTGGAATGTTCCTCTTCGTTCGGAATTCCTCGTAATCGGTCACGATGCCGAAGATTCAGGCGAACCGTTCCGACCGATTTTTCGTTTAAAGATTCCGACTTTGAGCGAAGACTCACGGGACTTTACCCCTTTGTGCCTCTGCCTTCCGTCCGTCAACGTTCTCGACGAACATGAGAAAACGTCCGACACGGACGAGTACGATCCGAAGGAGAAAAATTCTACGAAAAGCGCGTGGATAGGATGCGCGGAAGGGTTGATAAAGTGCACGTGGGACGATAAGCAGGCACACGAGGAAAAACATACAGCGGATATCGTCGAATGCGATATTTTGAATTGTTCGCACGTGCACGACGGCCCCGTCACAGAAATCGTACGATCGTCGCATCTTCAGGAAATACTCTTGACGATCGGTGGACAAGTGTTCGCAATTTGGAACGACGATCATACGGATTCTCCTTTATTTTGGAGGAGGACTTCCTCTCGATACACTAGCTGTTGTTGGGCCAACGAACCCGGGGTATTCTTGCTCGGTAACGATGAGGGTAGTCTCGAAATGTGGAACGTAAAGGGCGAATCGAATCAGCCGATATTTACGCAAGTCGTATCGTTGAAATCGATCACCTATCTAATCCAGTTACAGTCCTGCGTATTCGGTAACGAAGGTTCGAAAATGATCGGTATCGGCGATCGTGGGGGATGGTTTCGCGCGTTCAAAGAACCAGAGATTTTTCGCGGCGATGTCGCGACGGAAAGAATGGATTGGTTCGAGGAATACGCGTGGAGAGAAGCACGAAGGAAGAAACTTTTCACCAGCTGGCAGAATAATTTTCTAGCTAACGATCCAGTCGTGGTAGCAAAGAGATCAGCTAGGCGTGACGAGGGACATAAAAGGGAAGCGAAAGAAGCTAGGGAAATGCTTCGGAGAGAGCAGGAAGCACGTTTGAGACTGCAAGCGGAGAAAAGGGCACGAAGCGCACCGGTTCCAAAACACGTCGCATGGATGTCCAAGGAATTCGACAGAATGAAGGATGTTCTTTTGAACAAAAAGAATTTAATTCCCTCCGAGATCGAGGCGAAGAGACTTGCTTTTGTCGCTTTGAAAGCAGAAAGGGACGTGAAATTGGGAAAAGTGAACGACAAAATTGCTCGTCGAGACGAATATCTTTTAAACGCGTTATCGCGAAAATTCCCCAAGTTACTCGAACCGAGGGTGAAAGCTTCGGAATTCGAGGAATTTATTCCGATAGATCTCGGAAAATCGGTTGACGATTACGCTAAAAAATTTGCCGAAATACGACGTAAAGCTAACGAGCTATTAGCGAATAACTCGACCTCTTGAATTGTCGGTGTTTCCTTTATACTCGTAGAAAGATATTCGAATGTAATATACTTCTGATACTAAACGTATACTCTTCATTTGTTTCAGCTGCTTGGCATAATATGCATGGCATGCGTGTCACCGGCATTAGTAGCTGCAAGCCACTGGTTTCTGTTCGTCGCTGTAACAGCTTTTATCGCCTGTCTATTATGGTGTTTCATTTATGTGCTATCGATTCGAGAGGCGCTTAAGCTCCCTATCAACTGGATTCTGACGGTAATGAAACAACTGAAAAGTGACACTGATACGCGTGTACGCAACTCTGTTTCCTCTGCTCACGAAGCATCTTAATTTGCAGGAACTTTTGAACACAGCGATATTCGCTGTGCTTTACATGATTGCTTTCATAGCACAGTTATCTGCCTGGAGCGTGACACATTCTTCATTTACGTCGAGGAATATCGCTGGAGGGGTAAGTATAAACGAGCCCAACTATATTCCACACGAATGCGTACGCTGAACGAAAAGAATGCAAGATAGAAAATTAACGATCCAGTGGAAGTCGTAAAACGCGTGCTTTTCGTTCGTTAACGAGCGCATTAAGTAAACGATAGACGCGACAACGGAACTAACGGTAAAAATTCTTTTGCTTACTCGTATAGGTCTTTGGAATTTTCAACACGCTGGCGTACGCAGCTGGAGCGTATTTCTTGTACGTCGAGTGGAGAAGCCGCGACGCGCAATGAAGAAATGCAGAGGTACTCGATGAGACGCTAGGTACCTGAAGAGCACCTACGACAAGGCTACTACACTCGCGATCGCTGGTTCTACGACATCGGTAGTAAGATCACAGAGAAATCAGTGGATCGAAGCTAGTCCAACGGAGGCCCTCGCCTGATCGTGTGTAGTAGCTTATAACGACAGACTCTGTATCTACGTGCCTTAAAGATTAGTCGATCGATCGATCGATTCGATCAATCGATCGCGGCCTTTCGATCGTGCCGTTCGATCGCGGCCCTGTCGCCATCTAGAATCGCACGATCGGCGGAAGTTTGCGACTCTACGGTTTTCTGGGATCATGCTCGCTCCGACCATCCACGAAACAAAGAAGAACACACGGTTCACCGCTGATCTAGGACGGGTTGTTGCGCCGAACAGACATCGACGACTTTTTTAACGTCTTTGTTTCCACGAGTTTCGCGAATTTTCTTTGTTACGCGGTTCAGATTTTCATTGTACAAACATACGTATCGATAACGTTAATGTTAAACAACGGTTACCTTTTCTAAGAGCAAATTATGTTTCACGATCGGTCAACTCCATATTGGATGTGTCGATCCTTCGACTTTTACGATGAATTTTATAAGAGTATACATATGTACATATGTATATGTATCGCTGACACACGTACCTTGTGCGACACTTTCCCGTCCTGTTTACTTTTCTAACCGTACCTTTCTCGCACTACCGCGACTTCTTATTTATATGTAAACACGCATTAGTTATATACATTTACATATACATATCTGTTTTATATAGATAATATATTTGCACAAACCGAATACGGTACATCGTTTTTTTTTTTCTTTTTCTCTTCCTCTTTTTTCTTTATCTTCCCCCGTTCGTAGAGGACACTCGTGTGGTAATTTTCCTATTCGTCGACGTAAAAACGACCGGTTACTACGTGAACGAATATTTTTTGAATACATTGTACTCTTTCTGTACGCATTACCATTGAAATATACGTTCGTTTCCGACATTATCTTCGAACCTATTTGGATCGCATCCGATAACTCTAATCTCGACGCTGATCTCGGAGTCTACGTACACGAGGTAAGGAAGGAGATATTTAAATAAATAGGATAACTTTTCCATTTTCGTTTTACCATAACGTAATTTCTCCGTGTCTAAAGCACGATTAAAAAGTCATTAAAGATTAGCATGATATATCTGAAGTTGCCGTCACCGATTATCGTAATAAAAATTAAAAAAAAAATTCTTACACGCTAGGTCGACTTGCGATTAAAAGCTGCCGCACAGTTACACATGCTCTCGTACGTGTATACATTCATTCCCTGTGAACGTGGACCCCAGTATGATATCACCAATGACGTCATTCATGGCAACGCGTTGGAAACGCCAGCGTGCACTTCAGTCAATCCCAGACGCTCAAGGTGCGACCACCTACCTTATTAAGGTCAGTTTAAAATTTGTGTATATACATCCTGCCTAGTTCTACCCACTGTGAGTCGTGAATCGTGAATCGTGCAATACAATTCTAACCGCTACGTTTCTGCTATCGCGGTTCGACACCGGATCCCATTCTTATCTAGAGTTTCGTTTAAGATATATTTTTAACACGAGTGAAACCATTCCGGTATTATCCATGTAACGAATTGCAATATTCCCGAGCAACTTGATAAATTGGACATTTCGGTACCGTCTCGTTACGATCTTTTTAATTACCATCGGAAATAAGCGCGATGCACGTTTCGATTATCCGGTATCGTTATCGGTTTCTCTCGTAGAAGAAAGCTTTCATTTAAAAATAACCTATGACGAAATTTCACGGATGTTTATTCCTAGCCGCGCTAATTCGGGTGTATTCGTGATTCGAATTCGAAAGGAAAAGAATACCGATGCATCGTGAATAGATTAAAATCTGTCTGTTAACCGTACATCGTACGATCATCGATGTTTATGCACCATGACAATTGCTGAATCTTTCTCGCCGCTATACCGTGTGCATTGATAAGAAATCTTATTACATTTTAGAATGATTTCTCAAGCGATTAACAATTTTGTAGCATCGCTAAATTTATTTTACAAAAATAAAGTAATATCCTTTTTAGAATTAATTGATAGTAAATGGTGATTAAATACCTGCAGCTAGGAACTCCAGACGGTGCAAAGGTTCGGCGACCTGTCATTTTTGCGTCAATGAAAGCTCTATTATCTCTTGTATCTTGGAATATAGAAAGGAAAAGTGATTCCAAGGGGCTAGACGTTTTATCGATCAGCGAGAAACATCGAGGGCGTGGTGGGTCGAGGAAAGCAAAAGTGAAAGAATCCGTCATATTTCCTCGCAAATTTTCACGGTCGTGTTCTCAAATCTTCCGTTCTATTTTTAATCCTTCCTTGGCGAACATTCAAACATAACACGGACGATACAAAAATGAAATTAGCGTACGAGAAAGCACTTTGTTATTCTTAAGTTTGACGAAGACGAGGACCATATCTCTCGACGAAATTGCGAAATGTAGGCCACGCGTGAAAAATTCCTGTCCTTGGCCCTCTTCCTGCCAACGTGACTCCGAGACTGTCGTTTCGATATTTCGGACAACCCGGACAACCTTTTGCCGAACCGTTCGCGTTGTAACGTGCTGCTTTCATGCTTCAGAATCGGCAACAGAGGGAACGACAATGTCGCATTCGGTAACCATCAGGACCCAAACGGTGACGAGCAGCTCCACAGCAGTTCTCATCAATACCGGTTACCTAAAAACCTGGAGCGGCCTGTTCAAAACGTTGCAGTTGGTACGTACTTCGATATACGTGCATCTCCATGTACACGCTTCGCGACTATTGAACTTTGCACTTCGAAAATGTAAACTTTGCTTCATCTCGTATTTTTGTTTCAGGCACTTGGAATAGTGTGCGTGGCAATAGTAGGAAATCACATCTCTCTTTATCAAAGCTACGCGTACACCGGTGAATTATTTTTCCTTTTAATGACAACGACGTTTTTAATCGGTACCTTCATCTTGCTCGTAAGTTGCTTGGCTTCCTTTTCATCGGCTGCCGTCATCGCAAAATCCATCTATGTAAGTTTCGTTTACGATCAACGTCAGAAATAATCGACGAATCGCGTATCAAACTTATATCCATTTTCTAGGAACTTCTCTACCACTCCATAGCATTCGGATTGTACTTGGCTGCATCGTTAACGTACTCGGTACACGTGTTTAAAATGAAAGGATACAGGGAATACGAAACATTAATGGCCGCAGTCGTAAGTAAAGATGTAAAAAAAGATGTAAAATGAAAGGATACAGGGAATACGAAACATTAATGGCCGCAGTCGTAAGTAAAGATGTAAAAACGTTTATCCTGGAACCAGCACTTGGAATTGCGTGTAATAAATTATGCTTTCTTTCAGATTTGCGGTCTCATAAACTCAGCGCTGTACCTTTTCAGTACGATACTCGCTGTTCGAACGTACAGAGGCATTTGAGCACGTTATCGTTCCTTCTACGCGAAATTTTTAATATCTCCGTACAAATTTCGAGATCACAGATTCGCCTTGTATTTCGTATATTTTTTATTTTACGAGGCATTTAAATGCCTACACGAAACGCGCACTCTTTAACCGATACCTTTTTATACCGTAATTTTACATTTGATAAAAGATGTTTACCGTTATTTATATACTTTAAATATATTTATACCGCAGGCGAGGATTTTTAACTATCGAAACGCGTTACCAAATCATCCTGAAGATTGTCGTAATTTTTTACGATTTTTTACCATTTATTTAACCGTTTATGACTCGATATTTTACATTCACTCGACTTCGTTACCGTCAATGACGTTCAAGGGCATTGGAAGATCGTAAAAGTTAGGAAGGTCGTGTCATTGACGCTGAAGATCGTTCGACGACCGAGTGGGGGAGCGGTCATTGTACTCGTCGATCACTGACGATCGAGATCATTCGAATTTCGTCGAGCTGCAATAGAAAGCAAATTTTATGCGATAAAATTTGGAAAATTTTGAGAAATTGGAAAAGACAGGGGAAAAGGAAAAGAACATGGACTTTTGGCAAAGTTGCGTTCCTTTAATCCAAACGATCCAAGAATCACAAAAATTTCCAGGATGATTCGATACTATACGTTTGTTACTTACTGGTTCGTTACTACTTGATATCGAATCTCTATTTTCATACGATCTCGTTACCAAAAATCTTAACAGTGTCTTTGATATTTCGTAACTTACACGGTTCCTACAGATTGTCAATCGTTCAAGCCTATCGTTCAAGCCTATTCGCGAAGGCTACATATGTACACGTATTTATTGTACTTGCGCAATTGTTAATGTTTATACTCGACGAGATGATAGTCCAATAAAAGGAAGCACAGGAAAGTACATATTCGCAATATTCGTACGAAAATCCTAATCTGCGCGAATAGACGAAGAAAACGTAAGCTTAACAACTCGCTTACAGGAGAAAGCCTGGCCCCCTTTCTTTGTGCACGTCGACGTATATGACTGACGTAATTACGAGCGAAAAAGAAGCGAGCGTAACGAGGACGAAAACGAGACTTTTGCACGGCCATTGACAGGACGTGGGTCTGCACGTAGCAACGTATGCGGGAGGAGTTTTGATAAAGCTACACAAAGAAAAAGAACAGGATATTGCGGTGCGATGCATAATGTAATCAATTAGATTATGTATGCAACCGCATATATAACCGCATATGCGAGGGAACGAAGAATCGATAGATCTTCTCGTTTATGTACTCGTACATCCGTCGATACGAAAACGACGACCGAACCGTACGCGTAAAAATGTCGAATGTCAAATTGCTCGGTTCCCCGTTGCTTTTTTCCTGACACGCATTTCCCGTGCGTTCGGTACAGCTGGTATACTATGCGTCCTGACGGCACGTGCCAGAAATAGACGTCTGTATCTCAGTTGTGTCGAGTGCGACGTAGGGGGTATAACGACATTTAGACGTTCCATATGAGCCCAGAAAACATCCTCAGTTAGTGAAAAAGTGCTCGCGGATGCGGTTCACGTCCCTTTTCTCACCGTTCGGCTGAATCCACGGATATTTCTCTGTGAAGCGCGGCAATCTCGGTTTCGTGCGTGGAACGGATCACCGAGTCGATTCATCCCCTGTCTTCTAACCATGCGAATTAATCGTCGTTTAACCAATTAGGGTGATCGAATCAAGAGCCCGAGTGTACACGAGACGAGGATAGGTTTAACGAACTTATCAATCGCGGCATCCCATGTACACGCATACGCGTTTGGCTACGGTTCCGTTCTAAACACGAGCGAACAAACGTCAGAATCGTGGAATTTACTCGGCGAATCGTAGGTTGACGATGGTTTGGAACGGCACAGGCCCAGTGATCCGGATGACTACCACGGGTACTCATAGTGCCGGAGGTATCGAATGTTGCTTCTGCAAATGTTGCACGTGCATACACTTGGAATTCTTAAAAACTTTCCCCGGTATCTTGAAACTGAGCGAAATGGTATGTTCGACGATTTAACGGCGAATAATCGGCAATAATAATCTATCGGACACGTTTGTCTTTTCAGATCATCGGCGGCTTGATACAAAGTTTGCTAATGAAATACGGTTTGCCATACAACGCGACGATCGGTCCGGCTTTCGAAGGAGCTTTGACTACGTCTTTTGCTTGTTTCTTAACATCCACCATATTACTCGCCTGCTACGTGCTTTCGGAAAAATCCTACAAGATGATCAGATCGTCCCTCTTTGTACGTTAAACTCGCAAGCTGTATGCTATTTCCACCGTTCGTCGCTATAAATGTACTTTGCGCTTTCTTTCAGGAGATAATGTTCAACGTTTCGGCATCCTTCTTGTATTTAACCTCGGCTGGCTATTTGTTCGCGTGTACAAAGCTGTATCTCCTGCCGCAATATTATATAATACCTGGATTCGATGTTTATCCTGCGATGATATCTGCTTATGTACGTACAATTATTCGCGACTATAACTCGTGCTTCCTTCATTATTCCAATGTTATTGTGCTTTTACAGATCATGAGTGCCTCCGTCGGAGTACTACACGGGGTAGACGCATATTTCTCTTACAGGCAATATAAGACCGGAAGATGAATCAAAGTCAGAAGAAGGTGGCGAGATACGTAAAAATATCGCACAACGATTCAGGGCTGAAGCAAAGCTCGAAGAAACTTATTTTAGATCGTGTTCAATTTTCTAACAGTTTATTCGCGTTATCCGACAGGACGCGTAATCACACGAGTGATCTACGTTGAAACGGCATAGTTTGTAAGCACTCACGTTGAAATACATATAGCATTCCAAAGTTGTATCCTACGATATTTAAATTTAAGTATACAAAGTGGTATACTAAAATATTTAAATCGAATCCTGCATTTTCTCTTGATCCTTCCTCGTAACGAACGTCGGCGTTAATACCTCCAAGACATTTCTCAACTTTTCGACGCTATAGCTGGATGCTTATGAGAAACGACGAATGACAAATGGCGTTGGATTTCGATTCGCAAAAGAATCCGGTTATATCGATGAAGGTTTTGTTTCGAAGAAACAGTCACCGACCGATAACTGGAAAATATCCGCTTTATCGCGCGAACGTGCTATAATCGGTCTATTAAAGTTTCTCGAGATGAATGGCGACGCGTAATTTTGAAGGGGACTGTAGGTCGTTTCAATAATAAATTTCGTACCAGGTTATACGTGGATCCCGGACAGTGAATGGAAGTTATACGTCGGTCCTCACGGACTCCCCGATGGAGACCGTGAGGTTTCTCTTTCCTCTCTGCCCCACCTTTCTCTTCCTGCAATCCATGAAGCGTAGCTAGTCTCTCTTTCTTCTTCTTCGCTCGTTATGCTCCGTCTTTATTCCACGCCAGCGATTTCCGTTGCTCTCGTAGAGGCCTCACCGAGCGTATCACTCGACTCGAGGCATGTCGTCGACAGTTTACTTCGGGATTTCGAACCGGTCGATTCGTCCACGATTCCGTACGTTTCTCCGCGAACGAGGTGAAGTAACAGAACACCAGCTCGATTCTTGATATGGGGGTACACGCCAGAATCATCAATGAAAGTCTCAAACTCGCGTCGTCGACGAAAGGTAATTATTTTCCATTCTATATTTCAGTTTCTGTCAATCGTAGCGCGATGACAATTTCGATGACAATTCCTCCCGCGTGTGCAAAATGCCAAATTCGACTCGCGACGTGCTTCGCTATCCACCTGACTTTCTAGCCAACCACGTCCTTTAAACCCTACGCGAAACTCAACAGGTGGCAAATCGCGAACGTCGTTTCTATTTCGTTCCCTCTCTCGCATTCTTGCAACAACGTGGACAGCACTTGGCCATTGCGTTAAGGGCTTCATAAGGGACACGGGATATACGTGCGAGATATACGAGACGCGTAGAAAATCGTTTCCTTTCCTTTTCATGCTTGAAAAAAGACCTTGCTTTAGAACGCAGCGACCAGTTAAAGCAAAAACCGATTACATCGCCGGATCGAAACGTAACGATACTTTCTCTAAATTCGAGCGTAATCGTGAGATTTTTACGCCGATACGTAAATCGAGTGGAGCTCTACTTTCCAACTGGATCGTAGAATTTGCGATGAAAAAAATTCGACCAAGTTTCGAGAGATGTCGGAACAAAAAGGTAATTGGGTTGTTGGTAGCGGGAAAGCACATATTTGCTCGTAGCAAACAAATAGATACAGACGCGACGATCGAGGATCGAGCGCTTCGGTGGAAGGATCGTACATCGGTACAGGTGGTACCGATAAAATCTGAAACTCCGCTAACCCGTCGTGATCACGCGGATCTAATAACGGTTACATCTTGCGAGTTGTAACAGCGATCGTGTCTTCGTTCGGTATCGAGATTAAAAACATAGATATTCATCTCAGTATTTATTAATAACAGCGTTTTTCTTTTTCTTTTTTTTTTTTACGTTTATACTTATCTTTGGAGCTGATATCGATGCATTCGCCATACACGCCTCTCTCGTTAATCATGGGGCGTCGAACGCGGGAATTTTTATCCAACGAATCCCACGTTTTCGATTAGGTTATATAGACGAAAAAGCTCGACGTTGGAGAACACGGTTGTTGTCAGAGAGATTCTAAAGACACGCGCAACTTGCTAGTCGGTACACGTGTTTTTGCTGTGCAAAGAGTTAAATGTCCGTAAACGTTGGGGGGAGGGACGTTGAGGTTGGAGTAAATTACGCGATACCCGGTATCAACCGTGGACCAGTCTTTCCACGATATTTTCTTTTCCTTCGTTCCACATGATTACGATTAAACAATATCCTATTATAAATACGTCACAGCTTAGCAGAAGATCCTGCTCGGCAGAAACTGGATTTTCTTCGTCATTTTCTAACGCGGTAAATGTATGTGCTAAAAGAATCTTGATGTTTCATCAGCCATATGTTCCTTCCCGGTAATGTTTAGTTTCATCGAAAGCGATAACGATGCTCTCGCATTTCGTGTACTACGCATATGCCTGAAATTGTCCGTTTGATACTGTCGTGCTTGAGCTTTGACGCATAATCGAGATCCTTCTACTTCCTGTTGCACGTGTACGGTCGTCGAATGTCATTGGGGTGGCGTACGTGCCCAAAAAGACGTCACCCGTAGATTCTTACGAAGAACGGAAGGCGTAGGATGACGTCAATCGTGCCGAATCATTAAATCTTTCATCCACGCTTCCTATGTCCAAAAACGCATTTATCGAGTGAAATCCGAATACGCGAGCATTGCTTTTTCATACGCGTGTGTTGCAAGAATCGAGCATCGCAATACCGTTCGGTCGTTGACCGCAAAATTATGTAACTCGATCAATTATTGCGAAGCAAGCACGAATCGCAGTGGAATTTTTCGAGTATCGGAGTAAACGATTCCTTTACCGTGGCCATCTAAACCGCGCGTTCAGCTTTCACGTTCAAACGAGCCGTGTATTTTATTTTTCAGGAGAAGTGTCGTGGTCAACGACAGAGGAGCCTTTTACTCCCGAAGAAGAGGACGCGATAGTGACATTGGTAGTAATCGTTATCGGTATAATCGTAGCTATAGTGGTATTATTTTCCATGGGTATTTTCATCGACTGCAAACACCAGTACGTAGAAATAATCGAACGTCGGGTTGCCCCTTTTAAAAACTTGTCGCTGCTATCGTTTGATAGCATTTGCAAATGACCATCGACACGTCATTTCATTTCGTTGCAGAAACAAAAACATTTTGAAGAAGAAGAAGCTGAAATTGAAAATGCCACCGTTGTCGCGAACGAGAAAGGGTCAAAAGGAGGACGCTAAGTCTTTGGCATCGGATATGTGCCCAAACGGTGCTAGCGACTCTGGCTTTCGAACGCGAGATGCCATAGTTTGACGTCTTTTACGATACGTCGATTTTCAACACGAACGGGAGTGATTTCTATCGAACTTGTTCGTTAAATCGGAATAACCATAGACGAACAGATATACATATATATATATATATATATATATACACACGTATATGAAAGAAAACGGAAAAAATGGAAAAATAAACGACACAAATTACGCGATACACGCGAGTATCAGTGTTCGCGCGTCCGAGCAATATAGATCGATCGAACTCGTCATGTTCGAAATATGACGCGACTAAATTTTGCGAAAGATACGAACATCCCCCGCGGAGTTCTCTGACCGTTCAATGTCATTCGCGTAACTGTGATTTATGTATTCCTATTTATCTCTGAGTTATCAAAATCTCTCGATCGTATCGATCGCATGTCACGAACAATTTTCAAACGGCTCAAAGGACTCGAAATTTTCGATGGCGCATCGAAATCTCGGTGACCGCTCACACAAATCACCGAATACCATTCCCTCGAATATTCAACCTTCGAATCGTAAGACACGAAAGATCCCGAACGTACAGCCGTGCAAATTTGCACGACGGCAGATATACTGTGTCCCGAATCGAATGAAATCGGCTGAAAACGGATCGAATACGAACGTTTTCGTTCGTGCAATATCACGCTCTTCTGAGGTCTAGTCATTCCTTCGGCCTTGTAACGATTAATATACGATGCAACCCCGATGTTTCAATGGAACGATCGTTTAATCGTCAGTGATTCGTGAATCGACCAGCGATTAGAAAGTTCGAAAAAAATGCTGACGTTAACACTGAATATGTCCGCTTATCGTAAACGTACGATACGCGTACACGTCAGCGTACAATGAAAATTGTATATTACTCTTAGACGAATATCTATATATACGTATATTACGTGTACATACAAAACAGAAATGTATATAAATGTATTGTCAAAAATATAAGATGTTTATTATTATGCACGTGTGCGATTTGTCAATCTACTATCTACTTAAAACGATACATATACGAGAACCTGCATAGGTGAGAGGTCGAGGACTCGTATGATGTAAAATTTCATTATCTTTTTAAATATACGTTACGTAGAGATAAAGATTTATCAAAATTCATCAAAATTCATACCTATCGAATTATGCTTACGTAAAATATTTCATAAAACTTAACATTCCCTTTGTCGGTGAATTTCGACGAATATTCAAAATTCATCAAAATTCATACCTATGGAATTATGTACACACGTATATGAAAGAAAACGGAAAAAATGGAAAAATAAACGACACAAATTACGCGATACACGCGAGTATCAGTGTTCGCGCGTCCGAGCAATATAGATCGATCGAACTCGTCATGTTCGAAATATGACGCGACTAAATTTTGCGAAAGATACGAACATCCCCCGCGGAGTTCTCTGACCGTTCAATGTCATTCGCGTAACTGTGATTTATGTATTCCTATTTATCTCTGAGTTATCAAAATCTCTCGATCGTATCGATCGCATGTCACGAACAATTTTCAAACGGCTCAAAGGACTCGAAATTTTCGATGGCGCATCGAAATCTCGGTGACCGCTCACACAAATCACCGAATACCATTCCCTCGAATATTCAACCTTCGAATCGTAAGACACGAAAGATCCCGAACGTACAGCCGTGCAAATTTGCACGACGGCAGATATACTGTGTCCCGAATCGAATGAAATCGGCTGAAAACGGATCGAATACGAACGTTTTCGTTCGTGCAATATCACGCTCTTCTGAGGTCTAGTCATTCCTTCGGCCTTGTAACGATTAATATACGATGCAACCCCGATGTTTCAATGGAACGATCGTTTAATCGTCAGTGATTCGTGAATCGACCAGCGATTAGAAAGTTCGAAAAAAATGCTGACGTTAACACTGAATATGTCCGCTTATCGTAAACGTACGATACGCGTACACGTCAGCGTACAATGAAAATTGTATATTACTCTTAGACGAATATCTATATATACGTATATTACGTGTACATACAAAACAGAAATGTATATAAATGTATTGTCAAAAATATAAGATGTTTATTATTATGCACGTGTGCGATTTGTCAATCTACTATCTACTTAAAACGATACATATACGAGAACCTGCATAGGTGAGAGGTCGAGGACTCGTATGATGTAAAATTTCATTATCTTTTTAAATATACGTTACGTAGAGATAAAGATTTATCAAAATTCATCAAAATTCATACCTATCGAATTATGCTTACGTAAAATATTTCATAAAACTTAACATTCCCTTTGTCGGTGAATTTCGACGAATATTCAAAATTCATCAAAATTCATACCTATGGAATTATGCTTACGTCAAATATTTCATAAAACTTAACATTCCCTTTGTCGGTGAATTTCGACGAATATAATGTCTGGCTCCTTATTCGTCTACAAAGAGAATGTCTCAACGTTTTAATACCTCTTCGATCTACGATAAAGCGATAATCATGTAAATCGCACAGTCTAATTGGAAATGGAATCAGGAACGTGTCTCCTCTTTTCTATACGTGTACGTTATTGTATATACTATGAACAGGTTCCGTGCTGCGTGCGCTTTTCGTTCTTTCCGCTCAGCTTTCCGTTCAAGCCCTTTGAATTCTCATTGTAAAAGGAAGAATTCTCTTTATCTTGTTGCAACATCATGTACAGTACATGGTCCGTTGTTTTGTCGTCTAAGGCATCTTAAACTTTACATCCTTTCTTTCCTAATTATATTTTTTTCACTATTATAAATATCGTAAGGCATACGTCAGAGACAAAACTGTCAATCGTAATAGCGCGGGGCGTATACGCCGCATGCGGCATGAACGGAAAGTATCGGAAAATCGATTCGGCACGGAACGTGTTAAACAAGATCAGATCGATCTTGACCCATAAGCCGAGCTTGTCGCGCATCCTCGGATGTGTCACACACGTCCAAGGACCATTGCCAAGAGCGCCATTCGTACGTAGACACCATTTTCAGCTTGCCGGAAGTATGCCGCACGCGGATCCGTGTCGAATTCCGGACTGATCTCGAATACTCGTGGCAACGGATGCATCACCACCATCTTCCTCTTCGCACGAGACATTAACTGCGGCGTTATAACGAAATGTCCGCAAACCTGTAAACACGTGAGCGTGCGACACGCACAATTAATTAACGCGATATATCGCGAGATTAAGGAAGGAAAGAACAAACGGGAAGAATGTCTATTTCTGCAAGAAAGTTAATCTTGCGATTGCCTCCTTATCTTCTTCGCTACTTTTTTTTTTTATAACAACTGCATTATCTCGATATCAAGGCTGCAGTAGTGATCGTACATATCGTTAATTAATCGTTAGCAAGTTACGAAGCAAACTTAGCCATGCGGTTTCAAGTTCAATGACAAATATGAAAGAGGAGTCGCTCCGACTGTGCACTTACTTGCCGATACTCCTCTTGATTGGTGAAACGTTCTTTTTGAATTCGCGTCATGTAAAGAACGTCTGTCCTCGAGGGTGGTAAATTTCTCCTGTGGTATTCCACGTTCAGACACGTATTTCACTACATGGTCAGGCATGCCGAGGCCAGGAGGACACACGTAACGTAGTTCAACGTTGTACAAAGTTAACAATCTACGAAGCGGGACGAGCATTCAAATGTTGTTATTGTTATACGTGAAGTAGATCGATTAAAATAATCGCAAGAATGAATCACACTGTCAGACCTTGCGAGAGAATGGACTGTTCTGCCATGTTTCAAATCTCCGATCATGGTAATCGTCAAACCGTTTACGGTACCAATCTCGTCTCTTATCGTAAAAATATCGAGCAACGATTGCGTCGGGTGTTCTCCAACACCATCGCCGGCGTTCAGTAAAGGCTTCCGACAGTGTTGAGCAGCCCTCTGAATACAAAATATTTATAAGGATAATCGCATTTATTTCCAAACACTTCTTAAAAATGAGAACACTCACCGATACGGCGCCAGGTTCAGGATGTCGAAGTACCACCACGTCGGCGTAACCAGCCATCACCGCTACCGAATCTGTAACAGGTAACCACGTTATGTTTCCCGTATCACGAGGAATTTTTCATCGCGATCGCGTAATTCGCTAACCTTCCAAGGTTTCTCCCTTTTTCACCGACGACGTCGTACCGTCCATGTATATCACTCGGCCTCCGAGTCGCTCCATCGCAGCCGCGAAACTGCACGAGGTTCTCGTGCTAACCTCGTAGAAGATCGACGCCATCACTTTTCCCTATAGAAAATCGACAGAGTTGCCGTGAAAGGGACAAGCTGACTGCGACCGTAAAATTTTCCTTACCCGTAAAATATGGTCTATCAACCGTTCTTTTCTAACGGCATTGCGAAAAATTTCCGCGACGTTAAAGATGTCTTTCAGCAGTTCTTTATTGAAGACATCCACTGTCAAAACGTTGTGCCCGACTAAATTCTGACTAGTGTGAACCGAGGGAACCGATGGCGCCGATGTCAACAGCAGATTCGTATTGCTGTCGCTCTTGTGCTTGCTCGCGTTGCTGATGGGAAGAGGCGAAACGGTACGCTGTTGAATCGGAATTTTCGAGTGCTCGCGTGAATCCAGGTCCGCAGCGAAGTGAACGTTCGACTTGTGCGACACCGATTGCAACAGGTTCGTGTATGGCTCTGAAACGAGGAATCAACCCCTGTGAAAATCTCGAGGAGAAATTCGCGCTACGATCGAAACAGATTTCCATACCGTTCTGCTCTTCTTCCGACATGTCCATTACTCGTTCGGTGTAATTGTTGAACTTTTCGTAATTTGGCGACAAAAGACCGTCCAATGCGGAACTTGGTCGACTGGTTACGTCAACGGTCGGAGCATTCGTAATCGTTGAAAGTTTCATCTTTGCCTGTACCTCTCTGATGTCTTGGCCGAAACCAGGGTTTACCAGAACTTGTCCTTCGACGTAGGCAACTTCTCCTCTAAGTACCACGCGATGAACCGATCCGCGAACTTTCATTCCGGCGAAGGGAGTCCATTTGGATTTGCTGAATGGCATCGCCTCTGGAATTACCCATTCGTCATCGAGATCGACCTCGATGTAGGTGTTGGACTGGTCTGGCACGTTGAAAATTCTTTTCGGATTCCTATAGAGCTTGTTTATTATATCCTGAAAAGGGGTCAATTATTTCCCTACGTTAAAAGAACATTATTCGATCAGATACGAATATCGTTTATCTCGTGAAAGTGAGATAGTAAAAAGTAACGTGTACATGCGTATATTTGGTAGCGAGATCTCGAGTTATCGTACATTCTTCGAAACGAATTTCGATTACCTCTATCGTTAATTTTCCCTCGTGAACAGCGGTCAATAAAAGCGGAAGCATGGTTTCGAGTCCTGGGAATCCGGGTGGTGGGTTCTCGCTGGATTTCTCCTGCACAGTGTGCGGTGCTTAAACATTAAGAACACGCGTTTTTAACGAAGCTGTCGCTTAGCTAATCCACGATCGTGAGCAGAACAGAGCTAACCATGATCCGTTGCGAAACAATCGATTATATCCATATTTTCCCAAAGGGCTTGCTGATCTTCCTTCGTACCCAAAACTGGTCTCACTTGACCCCATCCAGTTCCTATACGAGGAAGATCTTTTTCGCAGAGAAACAAATGGTGAGGACATACCTCGCAAGTGACAGCCATTCCCTGATAAAGATATAACAACAAATCGTTATCGTAATGGAATAAAGAAGCGATTGTTATGAAAAAATTTTCTTTAATCGATCGCGTACTTTTTCCTTGGCCGCGCGTATAATTTGAATCTCATCCTTCCGCGCTACGTGACACACGTGAATAGGTCTGTTATGTAAACCGGCCAAGAAAAGAATCGCGGCAGTTGTTTGCCGCTCGGCATGGACACAGATAGGGTATTTTTTGGGCCAACTTTGAAAGTGCTGAAAAATTCGAAACGTTGATTAATCAGATAATCCTAGATATCTGAAGGACATAGTTTCCCTTATCATTTAATCCACGATGACGTACCTTAATCCAGATAGTGAGATCGATTAATTTAAGCGTCGTGAACGTCTCGTTAAGATACATCTTTAGACCTGCCGCTAACGGAGCTAATTCAGCTGTTGTGTTGTAATTATCCGACGAAGCGCCAACGTAAAGCGCGTAATCGCATCTGGCGTTTGACAGAGCGCGCTGAAAAACGAATGAAAAATAAGAGGAAAGAAAAGTCGCAACCTACGACTGGAAAACAGAATTTGCAAATCACGAGAATCGCGAGATTCGTTGGCGCGAAAACCGACGTTGTTCCTTTACCTCCTTGGCCTGAGCGAACGATTGATGATCGATAACGGGTGGGTGAGTGTTGGGCATGGCGAAAATCATCGTGATACCTCCGGCAAGAGCAGCGGAGGTACAAGAGGCAAAATCTTCCTTATCGGTTCTGCCAGGATCACGCGTGTGTACGTGTATATCGATCAAACCAGGAAGCTTGATCATCGTCCGCGATGACATGCAATCCGTATGAGTTTTCATACGAGGTGCACGCCCGCCGAGCATTCTCATTGCCTACAACGAACAAAAGCGACCTTATCGTGACGTCATTCTCGATAATTGTGATCGTGTCGCTACACGTCGACAATTGTGCTTTAATTCGTTTCGCCTGTACAAGTTTACTACAGATAAAGATAACTCTTGAGAAAGATATTGCTGCAAATATATAATATAAACAAATCTTGTAAATACCGGCGTTTCATATAAACGCGTATCCAGGATGATAAAGTAAAAAAATTACACCAGAGGCGCTTCTCAATAGCAATACATACCGTTTTCGTTTGTTCGAAAGAAATATAAGAAAATCGTGATACTTACTTCGACGAGTAATTTGGCGCATTTGACATCCGTGATTAAGGGTACGGAATAATCGACGGCGAGTCTCCTCGTGCGATATCCGTGTGTCATGAAGTTGGAAACTCGACGCGCACCGCCATTTCTCATCGGCAAATTAATCACGAGATCGAATTGTTTCTTCGAAAGGAAATCGGCCAAATGTCGAAGCTCGGTCGGGCTGGAATCTTCGTTCACGCTAATATTCTCGAATGTCCATTGTACCGGTTCCACCTATATTTCAACCATTTATTCATGGAGAATTGTATTTTTCCAAACATTTTATTCCAATGTACATACACTTCGACTAGTTTATCGGATTTTTACGTTACATGTATCCATCGCATCTAGAGCTACAGTATCTACGCGATAATGATCTGTTGAATACACTTCTACAAAACCGCGGAAATACCGTCGATATCGATAAACTGGTATTTTATTTTAGAAAATTTAGTTATACGATCGAAAGTCACGGTATCGTCTACATTTTTATACGAAATATAGGATATGACCAATAAAGTAGATCAGAATTTATTTGTAATTATGACGAGTGGCACTTTGGACCGATATTAAGATTAGATAAAAGTAAACTTTCCTCCAAGGATATTTTTATTTATGACATCAGTGCGATTCTTTCGGGTAAAATCCTCCCTCTACCGCTATTGTAATTATAATAGTTTCCGGCTACTAATTTATACGCATACTTCGTATTCCGAAACGACAGGTTGATACTAATAATAGATTTCATTAATCTCGCGTATAGCGATATCGAATACGAAGGATAATACGAAGGTATACGCGTTTCTTTCGTTTCGTTTGCGTTACACGCTTCTTCAACTTCCGAAAATCGTTGCTCTTTTTTTTCCAACTAAGCTCATTCAAGTCCAGTTTATTTGTCGATAGCCGATAGCGAGTAATGATTAAAGCATTTAACTGCCTATAACATGATAACGATAGGTAGGTATTTATCGGCAGCGTTTCCCCGCGATTGGATTATTGTCGCGTCGATCAGTGAATACGTGTTCTTCGGCGTTTACATGCGTCATGATCGTGGACGTTGATTCTTCGTTAGTGTCAAAAGCAAGGAATAATACTTCATCGCTGGGTGAAGAATGAGAATCGCAGAATCGAAGATTCGTTGTGATATATAGTTCTATTTAAAAGACAATTTCCGCGAAACTAGGACGAAATGGGAAATTCCAAGTCGAAGTTTAAGTCAAGATCGCGAAGCAAAACAGGAAGAAAGAGCGCACGCAGCGACCAGTATGAAAACGTTGAAAATTTAGTTACTTACGAGAATTGCAATGACGCAGAATTGTTGTTCATAAGAAAAACTATCCAAACGAATCCCGAGTTGTTCATACTGAACAATCTCATGATGTGTGTCCAATTCTTCGGCAATTACGAACAGTAAGTCATCGTATTTTAAGATCATTCGCGCGACCGCGCCATGGCGTGAAGAAACGATATTTTTCTCCGATCGCGGTAGACACGTTACAAAGATCACGATAACGTTAACTTCGGTTCGCGATAAAACGGTTTTACAATTGACCGATCGAAGAATAATACTTTTTCATGGTTTGGCTTTTCAGGGATATCAAGCACGCGAAGGAGACACTGGTATCGTCGCACGAAGCGAAACTGAACAAGCGTTTACCCCCGATGAAGCGCGTTCTACTTCCAGACGTTCTTCAGGCATATGTCTCTCGACATATCGGTTTCACATCCACGCGACAAACTTTCCGACCAACTATCGAACCCCTGCATCCAGTTCGAATTTACACGGTTCACGATAACATCGATATCACGGAACAAAATTCGGCGCTTTATAGCATCGTGAATAACTCGATCACATATAACATCCTGTTGAAACCCACGGGACATCAAGGTAAATATTTGGTTCTTTGAATTAATTAACCAAATGTTTTTACCTCTACGCTCACGTTCGCCTTTACGTTCGCAGGATACGTGCAGCTACAGCTTCTCCATGATTCTCCGATCCCGAAGAAGATAACGAAAGGGAACAACGTGGATCGATCGTCGATAGAAGAGGACGGTGACGAATTGTACAGTGGGATTGATAGCATTTACGGTGCGAAAGCGAAATCGGTCCGGTCCGACTATTCGGTCGCGTCCGAAAAATCTAGGCGAGATATACTGAAAGAGTCCAAGTTTCATATAACGCTATCCTTGCCTAATTTGTACGAGGAAGGACTCGCCGTGTACGAAGACCATCGTGATTTGTTACGTTCCAATCGTAATATCAGAAACGACGTTGATTACGACAACTCGTACTCGTTAGCGGAACAAAGGCATCCGAATAAAAGTGTTCAATCAAAGGGGGGATATTCTAATCAGGCGAAAGAAACACCGTTAACGAAGAAACAAGGATTAGTGAACCAAGAGCATACGAGTAGCAACAGTTCCGGATATCGAACGGACAATTACGCAACGGGTAGTGACAGCAGCTCGAGGTTCTCGCAGTCGTACAACTCCGACAAGCTAGACGAATCTTGGATATCCAATGCAAAACTTCCAAATCGTTGTTTCAAGAGAGTCACCTACACGGCAGATGGCAAGATTTATGACCCCAAGGAAGAAGAAATGTATTTATTGAACAGCAAACAACGGAGAATCAAGGAGGCGCTAAAGCGGCACAACTACGACGTGATATACATCAGCAGCACCGAATTTATGAAGCATTTTATAAAAATGTTCAAACAAAAGTTGGGTGATTCGTTGACCTTTGACGAAGACTCGCTGGAAGATATGAGACGAGAGGGATGCGTGCTCTACTGTGACAAAATTATGGTTTCCGACGCGTTTAAGCACAGCCGAGTAGAACAGTACGAAATTATTCCTGCTATTTGGTTGGAATGGCCAATCTGTGCTCAAGAATGGCTAGACAGGCCGCGAAATCACTGGCCTACGTCCAACGACGTCGACAAGGTTAAGAGCCTTGGATCCTACGTGGTACCGGAAGGATTCATTCCGAAACACGGAAACAGCAATCTCATTGAGGATCTCGAGTGGCAACTTACGTTTCCAACAGCCGAAAGATACCTTGAAACTTGTATGACACAGGCCCAAGCGAAGATATATTTAATCGCTCTGATGCTTCATAAAACTTTTATGAGGCCAATTTTCGATACGATGTTCAGCTTAACTACTGCTCATATTAAGCACAGATTATTTTGGATGATCGAGGAGGACGGTAGATCGTCGAAATGGCCCGATAACGGAATGGGTGCATGTTTGTTAAAGTTGTTAAACTCTTTGTACTATAGCATTAGCCAAAACGAACCTATACTAAAGGACTACTTTATCAAGGATAGGAATCTCTTTCAAAGAATACCCTGTGAACATTTGCTGCACACGCAGAAGCAATTGAAGCGCATCATCGAGAATCCGGTGATATATATTTTTCACGCGATGGAAAATATTCGATATAACGATAATTTCTTCCCGAGATTGAACTTCGAGATGTTACTGAAGATATTAACGGAAAATACGTTAACGCTGATCAATCCGATGCTTGTGCAAACTATTCCAGATCCGACGACCCGACCACGAGGACAACAGTCCGGACAAGATAACAAGTACGACAGAACCGCATTTTGGGATATGATCAAGACGAAAAGCACCAAACAATCCGTCCAATTGGTTACCAATAAGACGTTAATTAATCCTCGCAAGGCTACCGATTCTATCATCGAGATCTCGGTAAGTATAATTTTGTGATAAATTCTGTTCATCGATGATTTTCTAATGTCTTTATCTCTAACGTTTGTTATCGGATGACACATGCTATATCGTACTTCGAGGACGCACATTCTCACGGTAACGTGATCAGAAATGATACTAGCGCGAAGCGACCTTTTCCCGCCCTTGTGCTCTTTTTACCGAATTATCGATCAAATTCTGTACCCGGTTCGTGTCGAAATCGTCCAAGAATATTTTCAAGTTGGCCTAAAAAAGTACATTCTTGCCTGTCAATGTAATATCTCTCGCGGTATGCTCGATAAGGGGCAATACGATCAAATTAATTTACTTCTGCTTTAACGAAATCTAATCTTATCTATTCACTATCGTAGCTATGTACTATCTATTATGATATTATATTCCGTGTGCTCCAGGATAATATGTCGATTGGTCAAAAACTAACGTTCCATTCTTCTCTGTTTTTCTAGACACGGTGTGTCCCTTTGGACGGTCTAAGATTGGCTATTCTTCTAAGCTTTTTCATCGAACATTTCATCCAAATCGGGGAACGCTGTATTCAGTATCAAGCGGACCAACAGAAAGCTGTTTATCTCGACCACGCCGATCGCCTGTCCATCCTCCTTTTCGAACATCCATGTTACAGAAACGATGCACGAGCTTTTCGCGACAGGATCAAGGTTCTCAGGAAGAAAACGATGGTTCCGAACACGCGCAACGACAGGTCGAATACTTCTACGAGAAAACCGGAAACGGCCATATACGTTGCTTCGTTGAACGATCGCTTCACAGACGAATCAGCGAAAAAGGATGACTCTCTACCGGAGACGAACAAGCGACCCGATCCAGATGTCCATCGTGTTGAAATCATGACGAAAGCGATCATACATGATAGACATTACGAAAAAATGAAGGAATTGGACGTGAAAGTGGTGAATAATAAGAAAACGTTGCTCGTGCAGGATCTGGAAGATCGAAGTTCGACGATCGAAAATGGAGCTTCAGAATCGAACAGCGACGTCGACAAGAAACAATTGGTCGTATCGTTTCGTGACTTGTCCGAGCCTGCAACACCTAATTTTACGTACATTTGAAACGCATAGCCGCAAACACGCATGACCAATTTTCTCCAAGTTGCTCAATAAATGTTTCAAATTTTAGCAACCAATTAATAATTTATTATTAGTTAAAGAATATTATTTATAACTGTAAAAAGATTAGACACGATTAACGTTTCTTGTATTTCGAGAAAGTAAACGATATTAATTAATCTAAACGAACGTGAGAGAAGTGACAGATAAAGACATTTAAACTAGGTATAAATTAAGCTTCCAAAATTCTCTCAAGCAATTAACATTCAACGTTTGTTCGTATCTTGTTTATAAATATTTAAATATACGTTTTACGTTTCTAAGTGAAAAGATTGGTAACACGTCCTTTTTAAAACTTACCTCTACTCCGTGTTCTGTATAGAAATCTGCGGTCCCCATGCTAGCGTATAATTTGTAACCCATCTCGTAAAGGCTGTAAATGGACGGTAACAATTCCATTTTATGCTGTAATGAGAAAGGAGAACGTTAGAACCGTTGAACCGAGGAAGTTTTCTGAATTTCTAAGCAACCAAGACGCTACCTTGAAACTTCCTATCGAGAGCAAAATGCCTTTCTGCGGTATATGGAAACCCGTACTCATCATTCCTTTCAAATAAGCCTCGTACCGATTGTCTCCGAAACAAGCAACCTCCCCCGTGGATACCATCTCGACACCCAACATCACATCGGCACCTATTCAATCGCAAAGTGTTATATTTCTTAGAATCGTGTCAGAATGGTCGATTCGAACGACTCGTCGAGTGTGCGCGCTTACCAGCGAGTCGCGAAAAGGAAAATTGCGGTACTTTAACGCCAACTTTGCCACATCCGGCAAGTACGTCTACTGGATCTACGGTCTCTCCAACGATCACTCGAGTGGCCATAGCTACGAAATTATAATCCAATGTCTTCGACACGAAAGGGAAAGACCTAGACACCCTGACGTTGCACTCGATCACTTTCAACTCATTGTCCTGTAAACCAGAAAGTATCATCGTTAGTCTCTCTTTTCCCTTTCCTCCGTTTCTCTGCAACTCGCCTTTGCGATCAATTGCATGTTAAAGGGCCCAGTGACGCTGAGGGACGCGGCAATGGCCTTGGACATCATTTTGATTTTCGTCAATGTCTCCGTGTTGATATCCTGCGGTGGAGTGACTAGGGTCGCATCGCCCGAATGGACACCCGCGTTTTCCACGTGCTCCGATACGGCCATACAGAGAATAATCCCGTCATAGGCAACCGCGTCCACGTCGATCTCCTTCGCTCCGAGTATAAACTTCGATATAACCACCGGATGCTCTTTGTTCACCTCGCTGGCGCTTTTCAAATACGATTCGAGATCGTGATTCGAATAGGCCACGTTCATCGCAGCGCCACTCAACACGTAAGAAGGACGCACCAAACACGGGTATTCGACTTCCACGCAAAATTCGATCGCAGATTTTAAGTTGGTCAATTCCTTCCACCTGGACGATAGTATGTTACCGTTACGTTGGATTCGACTAAATTTCCTCTTACAAAAAGGACATATTAATCGTATTCGTCTTACCTGGGTTGCGAAATGCCAATGCCGTCCAACATGCGAGAAAATTTGAAACGATTCTCTGCTCCGTCCACAGATTCCGGCGAAGTTCCGAGAATCCTGGCTTGCTGTCTATGAAGATCCATAGCGATGTTATTCGGTAATTGACCGCCCATCGATAAAATTATTCCTTCTGGGCATTCGTGATCGTAAATATCCATTACGACTTCGAACGATATCTCCTCAAAGTACAATCGATCGCTCATATCGTAATCGGTGCTAACAGTTTCCGGATTGTAGTTCACCATGATCGTCTTTTTATTCAAGTTTCGCAGTTCGCATAAACAATTGACGGCACACCAGTCGAATTCTACCGAGCTTCCGATTCGATATACCCCGGATCCTGAGAAACGTGTGCATATTTCCAATTTACCGAAAATGTTAGACAACTTCTCTCGAATCTATTCATTTTCTCACTTACCTATCACCATTATGTATCCACCTGGGAATTCCACGTCGTGCGTAGTACCATTGTATGTCAGGTAGAGATAATTCGTAGTGGCTGGCCACTCTGCAGCTACCGTGTCTATCTGTTTCACCATTGGTCGTATATTGCTCTCCTGCCTTTGTATTCTCACCGCTAACTCCGAACTTTTCACCACCGTTGCGATCTGCTTGTCCGAGAAGCCGATTTGTTTGGCATGCAGCAAGACGTCGTGCGACAGTTTCGTGTGATCCGTATTCTCCAAAATGAAATAATAGTCGATAATGTTTTTCATCTTGTGTAGGAACCATTTATCTATTTTCGTGAGTTCGTACAACCGATCGATCGTATAGCCGGCCTTTATGGAGGATGCAAGAACAAACATTCTCTTGTCCGTTGGTTTCTCCAATTCTTCGTCGTTCGGTGCTTTCACGTATGGATCGAAACCGTTAGTGTTTTCGTCGACCATTCTCAAAGCTTTCTGAAAAGCTTCCTCGAACTTGCGACCGATCGCCATCACTTCTCCTACGCTTTTCATCGAGCTGCCGATCTAAAATCAAGACAAAATTGATCACTTTCAAAATCCTGATACCCGTATTCACGCCGGTTGCGGCATCAATTATACCTTTGTGGAGACCCAATGAAATTTGTTGAGGTCCCATCTTGGTATTTTAACCACGCAATAGTCCAAGCTCGGTTCGAAGCACGCGGTAGTCTTTCCGGTAACAGAGTTATGGATATCCGGTAAGCGAATACCGAGTGCCAATTTAGCGGCAACATAAGCCAATGGATAACCAGTCGCTTTGCTCGCTAAAGCAGAACTGCGAGATAATCTCGCGTTCACTTCGATGATATAATATTCCTCGGTATTCGGGTTCAGCGCGTACTGGATGTTGCATTCGCCAACGATGCCAAAGTGTTTAATTACATTGATGGCTGTCATTCGAAGCATATTGTATTCTTTGTTGGACAAAGTTTGACTCGGCGCGACCACGATCGATTCACCGGTATGGATACCAAGAGGATCCACGTTCTCCATGTTGCAAACGGTGATACAATTGTCGTACGCATCTCGAACGACCTCGTATTCGACTTCCTTCCATCCTTTCAACGATTTATCGATGATCAGCTGATTCGAGTGAGTGAACGCATGCTGCGCGAGAGTCTGCAATTCTTCTACGGAATTGGCGAAACCAGATCCCAAACCACCTAGAGAGAATGCTGCCCTGGCCATTACGGGATAGCCCAGTTTCTCGGCTGCGTCTAAAGTCTGACGGAACAAACACGCACGACCGCGTTTTTAATTCGGAAAAAATCTGTTTAATTAATCGTAAAATTTGATTCTTAACCTCTTGGATAGAGTACACTGCCGCGCTCGGTGCCACTTTCTCGTCGATCTCTGCGATGCGTTCTGCAAACATCTTTCTGTCCTCCGTTTCTATGATCGATTGTATAGGGGTCCCTAGAATCTTGACGTTGTATTTTTTAAATACCCCGTTCCTTTCGAGCTCAACGCCGCAATTGAGAGCAGTCTGTCCACCAAATGCTAACAGCACGCCATCGGGTCGTTCCGATTGTATTACCTGAAAATTATAAAGTCTCGTTAGAAAATAACAACAGATTTCTAGGAGGAATCGAATATCGACGGTCGACTACCTGCTCCACGTATTCCGGTATTATTGGCAAAAAATAAACTTTATCCGCCATGCCTTTAGATGTTTGTACTGTCGCGATATTGGGGTTGATCAACAGCGTCCGTACGGATTCTTCGCGCAATGCTTTAATCGCTTGCGATCCGGAATAGTCGAATTCACCCGCTTGACCGATACTCAGACCACCCGATCCCAAAATCAACACCTTTTTCGGTCGCAGAGGCAAGTTACCGATGCTTTCGGGGAAATTCAATTTTTCATGCAACCTCTGCTTCATGGACTCTCCGCGTTTTCCATTCGCTACGTCGATCACGGCGTCCAGGAATACATCGAACAAACAGTCCAGGTCTTGAGGACCAGCAGTGTGTTCGGGATGAAATTGGACCGAAAAATAAGGAAGAGTCGAATGAACGACACCTTCGTTGCTATTATCGTTCGTATTGATGAAAAGCGGTTCCCAATCGGCTGGTAACAGGCTCGCATCAACCGCAAATCCGTGATTTTGCGAAGTCATGTAACAACGTCCAGTTCCCTGATGCGTGACCGGTTGATTGTGGCCACGGTTTCCGTAACTGCGTGTGTTTATGTATATAGACGTTCCCAAACAGGAATTTAATTACTCCGTAATAAAAATATAATCAGAGATACCTACTTCATCTTGTACGTAACAAAACCAGCGGCAATACACAGCAACTGATGACCCAGGCAAATGCCGAAAATTGGTTTATCTGTTCGTGATTCGAGGATGGATCGAATAGCTTTAATCGTTGTTTCGCACTTGCTCGGATCGCCTGGTCCATTACTTAGAAGCATGCCATCGTAATTGGCTTTAGTAAGATCGTAATTCCAAGGCACAACATCGACGCGACAACCTCGACTAATCAAACACCTCAGTTGATTGTACTTTAAACCACAATTTACCACGCATATACGGGGGTAACCGGTGGAATTGTACGTCGTTTGTGCAGGCTAAAATAAATCATTCACAATCAGTGCAATGGTTCATACAGCTTTTAAATCGCATCGAATATCTTTTTCTTGTACCTGCACGACTTCCGCGACGAGATTTCTTTCGTTCGGATCAGCTATCGGTGGATTCACAGAAAGAACGGGAACAGGTGGCGGTGGATCAAACACGAGTCTACCTAAGATCGTGCCTTTCTCGCGAATAATTTTTGTCAGGGCTCTGGTATCGATCTCGTATATACCAGGAACGTTTTGCTCGATCATCCATTCGGACAGCGTTTTGGTCTGTCGCCAGTGGCTCGGAGTTTCACAAATTTCACCGATCACCAAAGCAGCGGCCCAAATTCGATCAGATTCGAACCAGCTGTAAAAGAAAAGAAGGTTCAGAAATTTCACCCATAGCGTTTACCGCAATGCGTATCGTTTTCAATTAATAATTCACGTTGCTCTTTATAGTACGAATCGAGTTGTAATTCTTACTATGGTATATTATGTTCGTCCACCTCGTTATCAAATACTCCATAATTTCCGATAAGTGGATACGTCAGTACTAAAATTTGAGCATGGTAGGAAGGATCTGTAAGTGACTCGGGATAGCCCACCATACCGGTCTGAAATACTATAAAAAGAAAATGCATCAGTTCAAACAGAATGTACTCGTAACGCGTGCAGAGTACGTAAAAATGATGCGCAATGGCCATCGTAGTTGGGTTCTACACCCTCGGGACGGTGGAAATATCTTGAGAAATGTAAGGGTTAAATTGGTTTCGACCTAGTCTTACAAGATCAAATTCTGTTTTCTTTCGTCGCACGATCTAGGAAAAGCCGAGACTCTTAGTTGAAGACTCTTGGTTTTCTTAGAGAATCGCGTTAAGGTTTCGATTAATCTTTGAATTTACTTCATTCGTAATATTCTCATATTTTACAATTGGGCATAGAGAATAAATAACATATTCCGATTCGCGGAAATTCACCTTCCCAGATAATACGGTCACGCCTGATCCCCGATCCGGTTGTCAGATACGCGGATTATACTGTATTACGTCACACCTGTACACCTCGGTATTATTGCTTTCGTAAATATGTATATGTACAGATATATATTTCTTTATTCCTTATTCTATCATATAAGCATACATTTATTTTAATTATTGAAACTTCAATCGTCGTTTTAAAGAAAACAGTTGAATTATCGCAGTCTAATATTTCTTTGATATTTTTTATCTTCTTAATTAACAATACTCGCTGCAATGAAAAAGTAAATTTAGCCTTGCAAAGATACATTTTCTAATCTTCTAGAATCCAGTTACTAATGACCATTGCACTCTACTTTGAAACAAACTGTACAACGTTCATTCGAACTATAACGGTAATTTGCAAAATGTAAATATCAAAGGAGCATGGGGGTCGAAATCAATCGTATTTATTTTCAAGCCGAATACGTTATCGAATTGTTTTTAAATTATCGTGTAAGGTTTTACATTACGAGTAGCGAGCGAACTGTATCAACGTAATATGATCACATGCATCTCGTGTAATTAGATTTAAATGGTTGTTCTATAGACAAAGATAAACGTCAAATCAAAAGTTCACGAGACTGTCAGTGTCTTCGATAAGCAAAGTTATTTTCCACACTCGATGCACTAACGTAAAATCTCTTTTCGAATCGGCAAAAAAAAGCACGTGGAAACGGAATATTACGATAAATTAGTAGTAACAGTCCCACGTGGCTCTTTCCTTCCGTAGTTGCATAGGAAACATGTGCTCGTATATCGTGGAAGCGTGCATATGTATTTCAGTTTAGGAGCAATTAAGTCAATCGGGGCAATGACGAGCGTGTTTACTCGATTGAAATTGAAAGTACGATGAAAGAAAGACGACGGTAGAAACAATCATGGAAAGATTCGTACACGTACGTCTACATACAATGCAATGGCCGAGCACGTGTTGCACGTACACTCACCTATTTCACCGTCGACCGGTTTCACCGCTCCGAAATGTCTCCCTGGGAAGACAGTACCATCTTCGAGCAAAAGATAGATGGATTTAGATACGGGATCAGGTATGACCGCATGTTTGTGCATTTTTCTTAACGGTACACAGAGCACTCCAAGCGTGCTCTCGCTCCGGTGGACACTGCTCGTAGCATACCTCTACACATTTGGGTTTGAGCATTGAAATTGTACTCATGAGATCGTTCAGCTCCGTTCAGCTTCGTTCAGGCCTGCGCGTAGAGGCTATAAAACGCGGCTTCAGCCCATAGGCGTCCACTTTTACTCGCTGTTATGCGTACGATCCCTTGCGCACGTCACGTGACTATTCTGGGATCAATACATTGGCCTTTCCTCAAGCACTACATGGTTATTCGAACAAGCGCCATTTTGATACATTGTTGGATTTGAATTCGAAATGTACGCGCGAACGTGCTCTGTGTTTTCTTTTTACGCTCTTATTAAATTATCGCAATCAAATCACGTGGATTACGCGATGATAAAGTTCGGTTTAACTGCTGTTGGTCTATTATTGACACATACTACGAACAGATGATAACGAAGATTGATAGGAACGGGATAAGGTACGACGGAGTGAATGGATTTTAAAAACAATTCCACGTATAGAGTATCTCAACAAAAAATCTGTTCAAGTCTTATTGTGAAACAAACGGAAGATCGTAGTGGTCATCGATTTGGTACATTATGCCGATATTCGATGTCTCTCCCAAGCATCGTTCGATGTATCTTTTCGATATAATATACGATCACCTATGAGATAGTCCCTCGCAAAGTAGAATTCCATCATTGTCGGGAATAGTTTGTATCCAACGCTGAAGCACGATTAAAACATAATATATTCGGTAACAGGTGCTGTGCTTACATCGTGTATAGTTAAACTTACAAGTGATCAGGCATCGGCAAATCATTTTCACCTCTACGAACCGAGTCTAATATTTCGTCGTGTCGTCGCTTCAGATCCTCCCAATCCACGACCCGTCCTTGGTCGCAAACGTGAGATCGAATTTTGCAAAACAACGGTTCTCTGTCGTACAGATGCTTATACTGTTCGCTGTCCAATCTCTTCATCGTACCTTCTATCCTCACCTACAAACAATCCGATGCTATGCATTCATCGTTAGACGTACATCGATGCTCGAGCGCATTTTGTATTGTCTTTACCTGTTTCGTAACTTTCTGATCTTGGTCGTTTACATAGAACCAAAGAAAACACATGGCAGCGTACGAGATGTTTTCCTGAAACGATCGATAAAAGAGAAACCAGCTGTGTACGAACTCACCTTTCAGTGCAAACTTACTACATTGTCAATCTTTTTGCTACGATTATCGGTTACTATTGTAAAACCATCGTCATCGAATTCCCGAAGAATGACGTTCCTCGCGGATACTTTGCAGTCTCTGAAACGAAGGCGCTTCATTGAAAATTGTGTGTAATTTATTGGAATTATCGATGAACAGTCGGTACAAACTTTGAAGTAGTAGCCAAGCAACAGGCGTCCGGTGCAGTAGCATTGTACTTTCGTGTCTCGTTGTGCCAGATTCTGAACAGCTCGACCGGGTGATCCACCACCTCTTCGATTTTTGCCACATCCGAGAGATCCCATTCTTTGTCCGACCCCTTAACAAATCATGAGCCAGCAAGGGAGGGGACCGATCGTAATAAAAAAAATAAGGGGAAGAAAAAAAAGAAAAAAGAGACAAGCATCTGACACCGAGCGATTAAATCGTTCGGGTTCGTGCTCGTTAGAAACGCGATACTCTTTTAAATCTCAAGGTACAAAGGCTAGTATATAGTTACGTAACGCTATCCACGAGTACGTACGAACAAGCTGGAAAAGTCGTTTTGCTAACAACGGTGCTATGAGTTTCTTACCATATTTCTGGTTACACCGAGCCGGTTGAATCCGATCCGTCTATATACCGTTGCGCGTCGTAACAGCGTGTTCGCAAAACGAAAGTACGGTACGCATGTGTAGAGCATTTATTAAGTAACCCTACTTGACATCTCCCACCATCCTTATTCTGACTCTGCGCAGAACAGCGTTCGCCATATCGGGAATGATGCATATAGAATGCGTTTCGCAGAGATCTTTCGTATCAACCGTATGCACGTACCTTCATCATCATTGTTCCATGACGAATCTGAACTTGATGTAACTTATCTGTACTTATATAATAATCGTGCCCGAGAACACGATTAAAGAAAGAAACGTACTCGTGGCATAATGCGTAAGCAAGTCTATGAATACAAGAGCAGGAATTTTGCGTGCCGCTGTTACTCGAGTTACACTTATGTATGTATACTTTAATGAAACAGTTCTCTTTACAACGCTGTAACACATACGCAAATATGTAAAATATAATACGAAGAATGGTACAACAATGAATCTTTGACAAAACTATACAATCGATTCGCACGAATCGGTGCGAGAAATGTATCCCACGATAATACGACACGTTTTAACGTAATAATTTACAATGGATATTTTACAGTCTGTTAGATAGGATAGAAAAATTGTACGAAACGAGAAGCGATGGATTTCATATCGCGTATGGAATATCTATTTGTATACCGCCGCAATGTTAATTTCAGTCCCTGTCAGTCCATGTGGATTTATTAAATAATATATTAGATAAAAATCTATTCGATGGTAGATTTAATCCAGGCGATATTCGAGGAAATTTTATCGTATAATCGAGGCCTTTCGATACCGGCTTTCGAGCAAGCTATTCGCCAACTACCGACACCTGTTAATGCCCACCCGCGACCATCCGGCTGGAGACACAACATAGGACTACCGGCAACCTCTTCCTCCTGTGCACGGTAAAAAGTAATTAGATATTTCCATAGAAGCGTATGTTCTCCAAAATGCACCGTGGCAATGGTGGCCATGGCAATACTTACGTTACAATCATCGGTAGAGTAAGCTGGTTCCGTGCAAACGCTATTCACCGACGCGATACTAATATTTTCGCATCGTTCCATTGCACTGTGCCTGAGCTGTACCCTTTGTAGTAAATCTCCTGGTGAAAGAAAATTCTTCTTTTAAAAAATAGAGCAACGTCGAACGCATGTTTGACCTTGCTTGACCTTCCGTTACGCGCGGCAAACTTGTTCCGCTATTATTATATATCGCATCAACAGATATCAATGATCGTACACCCAGGCAAAAGAAATATCGATTACGCAAAATTCGATACTTACAACTTTGCGATAGCTAACGATAACGAAGCTATTTAAGATGGAGAGTGTAATTATTTGTTTAACTGCGTCTTATCGCATCTCTAAAAATGATACAACGAGTGGGAAAAAGGGCGCGCAAATAAGCGACACCCGTAATTACGCATATACTTACATAATACACGCGAAAGAACGGAATAATCTTCTCGAGATACCTACATAAGCACGCGCGAGTTGAACGCGACATCGTGTACAAAGCGTAGATTAATACTCACGATTTCTGGCCCATCCGAGCGTGTTGCAATGAGTCGCATTCATCGGTGGATCCTGACTCGAGGGCAGACATACGGGTCTTACGAAATCGGAAAACGTGGTTACAGGTCGATCGAGCTTCAATAGAACGGTTGTGCTCCCTTCTACCGGTGATTTAATCATACCCACGATTCTACGCTCCTGTTGCCACGGCGACGTACTCGACAGTCGGACAGTGCCCATTCTCGCGGACCATTCTGCCTTTGGCTGACTGTGATTGCATCGTTATACGAGGAAAAGCTGTTAATACGTTGTTACTAGAATATTTGCAGAAAGGACAGAGTGAATGAAACTCACCCTTGAAAGCAAGAAGCCGTGGTAATCAACCAATTTTCCGCCACCAGCGTGGCATCGCATACGTGTACTTCTTCCTTAAAGAGAGCTACGTGCCAGGGCCAGTCTCCCGGCTCGGCCATTTTATTAAGACCTCGACTACCGCTTTTTGCATGTAACGACTGTACACCGCACTCTAAACATAGGTTATATCACTTTGAAGATTCGCGTGAACTCGAGATAAAGAAAAACTCTTAGGACGTGTCTCGTACCGAGTTCGGAGCATCGCACGTACATAACTTCCTTGCTCGGACAGGGTGCTCTGACGAACGTGATCTCCGTGGCAGATGGATCCTCCATGTGGACGTATTGAATATCCTCTTCGTCGTCGACTCGAACTTGCACGGAATTCACTCCTCTACGACAAACGAACAGCGATCGTTGTTAAATCGAAACTCGCGTATGTTTATCTCAAGAGACAAAGTTGTACTCACGCGTAAGTCAATAGAGTGCACAAAGAACTGGCAGCATTGTGAAGAACGGTTTCCATTTCCGTTCCTGGCAGTGTCGCGTTCAGATTCGCGGTGCAGAGTTTCCCGATGGTACCCTTCTCGTTGAACACGACGAATCCCTCGCTGTTATACTTCGCCGCGAACGGTGTATCCGATGGTTGCGATTTTATGGAACGAATACTCGGCGCTAGGGATACTAGGAAGAACATATTACGAGGTGAAGAACGAGAACGATTACGCTACGAAATACGTAGTTGTCCGCGTTGAACGATACGTACGGCAATCCTTCTCGTCGCTACCGTTGCTGCAATCCGCCTTTCCATCGCATCTCTTGCCACGTGGAATACAAGTTCTACCTACACCGCAGTGCATGTAACCGTCGCGACAATAAGCGCAATTTTTCTCGTCCGAAAGGTCAGGGCAATCGATCACGCCGTCGCAAATTCTCGGTGACAATGCTTTCGCTTGAAGCGCTTGCACGCATCCTACGGTAACGTTTATCCGGTAATTAACCATTCTTTTGCTCGATGGTTTATTATTTCCGCGTTGTTTGGCAAACGCGAAAGATTTTACGTTCGTTCACCTGGCTTTGCTCTGCATCCACCTTGGTCGGCGTACTCCGGGAAATTCGAACAGTCCAATAGCCGTTTAATTCTGTCCGGAAGTCGGCTGCCGCATCCGTTCCAGAACTCTCTGCAGAAGCTCCTGCACGGTAGCTGCAGCAGGTCTTCCGGTTGATTCGATATGCACGCCGGTTGTAAAACTTGGCACACAAAGTCGTACGCCAATCGGTAACATTCCGCATCGACTAACTCCCTATAACGGAGAACGTTCATTCGGTGTAATAACATTCGAGCGAGATCCGTAAGAACCACCGTGTAGATACTCGGGAAAGTTTGCTCCGAGATCGCGACTCGATATGCACCTGAAAGCGATCACGTCCTCTTCCACGTCAGCCAACGAACGGTGTCCCAATATATTTGGATAGGACGTAACGTTGTACGGGAGATGCTTGCAGTAAGACAAATCCAGACTGCTGCACCTTCTAGGAGGCGGCGGTGTAGTGGTCGGTGGTGGCGTCGAAACTGTCGTTTGTAGACCGACCTGAGCGTTCAAAGCTTTCAAGCTCTCCTGAACTTCCAGGCTTTGCGAGTCGATCGTTAGATTCGTTAAATACTTTGCGGTTTCGGGATTGATCTCCCGCGTAAGGATTTCGACGACATCCGCGGTGGTGATGGTCTGATATCGTGGATCGAATCGTACCTCGAAATGAACCACCAAATCCCTGCCATCGGATCTGCACAGTTCATTTACGTCGAATAGTTACGACAAATACTGCTTGCAAGAGGTACCGAAGCGAAGTCACGAGAGAGTCGTTTAAAGATAGTTACTTACAAGTTTGTCTACGCGTGTACACGTACACGTGTAACGGTTTCTCTTTATCGGTGAAATAGGTAAAATTTCTGGTGAAATAGCTCGTGGCTTTCGAAGGCATTTCCCATACCGATTTCTCTATGGGAAGAACTTTCCTTCGCTCCTACCCGTCTCTGTTCTCTCGTTCGTTCGCAATCACGGTCGACGAAATCGAAACAGCGAGGTCGTAAATCAAAGAATCAAACGTACCAACGAGATAACGAAAACACCTTGATTCTCGAGTTAATCGGTCGCGAATCGACGTTGAAAATTTCCGTTCAAAAATTGCACGATCGTTAGTAAATTACGCCTGTTCGAAACTCGTTCTCCAGGTTCGTACACCATATATACCGAATATATTTGAAAATATTCCGCAAGGGGAGAAACAATTCCGTATTAACATCGGATAGCGACTTGGACGAGGCTCGTCGTGCCCCTCTTATCTTCCCATGTACGTTTCAAATTGCTGTTTCGACGCTCGGAACGTGTAAACTTCAACGCCTGTTCGACTTTATTACCTCGCTGTTTCGGTACCACCGAGTATACGTACCCATCGAGTGCCAATACTTCCACGGCGAGAAAAGAAATCTTGAGCCAACTGCGACGGAAGATAAGATTAAGTCGGTCGCGATACTCTCGCGATCGTACTCGAAAGGCCTCGGTGGAGGGATCTGTTAGTTCCGGAGCGAAAAAGTCACCCTCTATCACTCGGAATGTCGCCAAAAAGATCTGATCACCCGGAGGGTCCGATGTTAGAAACGTGTCTGGAAACACAGCGATTAAACGAGATATCGAATGGTGTTTCGATTAATCGAGCACAAGATGCTCCACGCGTTTAAGGAGGAAATAAAACGAAACCACCGACTATTCGCGACACGTCGATGACCGTCGGGTGGGCTCTACTTACCGTGGAAATTAGCAGTTGGAGACTCGAGACGCGGAAAAGAAGGAACAAACGGATTTCACTGCGGCATAGTCGATCGATTTCCATCCTTCGACCATCGGGAGGGTATAATGTTCGCGTGGCTAAACGATAGATACTTTCTAATACTCCGTCTCGAAAGAAAAGCTCGCTTGAAAGGACAATTGAAGGATAACGCGACGTTAGCTACGGTGTGCCGTTCATTGTCAGACGTGTTTCCCCGTCGAAACCGTCGTCGATTATTCGACGCTGGTTCATATCGGATAAAGCAAACGAAACGTAAACACGAACCAGGGAATCGAGGGCAATCGGGCAGCTACGGCAAGACGGCTCGAGGCTCACCTTTCACCGTGCCTTTGCTACGTTATTTTTATACCGCAGAGATCATTTTTTCGATCCGCGATACAATTTCTTGCGGGCAACGAGCGATCTTCTGCGGCTTGCGTAGATCTAACGTTCGAATCGTTGCTGGTCACATTCGCGAACAATCGTTCGAGGATACCGTTTTCCCTTTTATCGACGTGACGACACGTAGCGAGAAAATTCGATGGATCGCGCGCTCGTGATATCCTTTCGCGATTCTCTCGGCTTCAGCTTTGATTTCCTCGAACGCGGAATACTTTCGAAAGGGGCATTCGGTTAGTACGATGAGGCATCGAAATGATTCAAGGACACGGATCCCCCCTTTGAGGTCGAATGTTGGAGGGGTGACAGGCAGAACGGCTCGACAACTCGGTCAGACCGTTAGCTTTGCTACTTTCAAGGCCTCTTTGCTGGACCTCGCAACGCGATCGTGCGCATCTTCTTCGACCTTTGCCACTCTTTAGTCCTACCACGCGAATTATAGAGCGTGGCGTAGCGCGCGATCACTCGTCCGTTTCGTCACGGCTATATTCGCTTTCTTTTCTCGCCAAATCGTTTTTTTCCCCCTCTAGAAGTCCTTGCAACTTTATCGCGGCACGTTTAAATCGACCGCGAATAAAACGTGCCCGATCGAAGTATACGTATATACACGTGCATTTTCTCGGTAACTCGGTCGAACCGTTATGTTTGCGCGCTGGAAGACCTCAATGGGCTCTGGCCGCATCATCCTCTTCCTCTTTTTCTTCCTTTTTCTTCCTTTTCCTTCCTTTTCCTTCCTTTTTCTACCCGCACCGCAAGATACACGCGTGAAGATCGCTGTAACGATTCCTCCATCGCAGGATCACGGTGCATCCGACCTATCCGTCCGTGGAACAACCAGGTCTACGCTCTTGTGTCTCCTTTCCTCCACTTCGCGAATCTTCGAATTTTTAAATGCCCGCGTTACCCCCGAAAATTCGGTCATTTTGAAGTTCCTCGGCCGTGTATACACGCGTACGTACTCGGTACGCCGTGAACCTTTAAATTCACCTACTTTACATTCGGTCCTTCCTCTTCGCGCGACGTTCACCGTTACCCGCGTATGAATATTAACAGCGTATCTGCATCGATTAGACGAGGAGGGTGGGTCTTCTCTCGTGTGCGCTATCCTCCGTTTACCCGTTCATCGCGTACGATCGTACGCGATCTCAAGGTGAAGTACGCGTACTCGTTAAGCGTGAAAGCACGTTCTCGCGGGACAAGGGAAGAGTCGATAACACCTTCGTGCTTTACGAAATGTTCACGCACCGTGAACAACTCGTTCGTCCAGCGAAACAAATGCCACGCGTCTCGCAGTCGTTTCTACGAGTCTGGCGAATTCTAGCGAGTAGCAATTTCGTTTACGGCACTTGCCGAATCGCGCGCGCATAAGTCGCTGGAGAAAGCGCAAGAACGAGACCTTTCGCGTACACGAGATTCCCCGGTTGAACGATCCTCGCGATCGTCGAACGGCCAGTAGGAACGATGTTAATCCTATTTCGATTTACGGTAAATGATCGGAAACTTGGACGTGATACTTACAGCCAAGGTATATGGAGATGCCAGAAAAGAGGAGGAAAAGCAAGAATGCGGCTAGCACGCAGCATCCGCAACGATACTGTCCACCGAGCTTCCTCGTAAATCGTATGTCACTGTCCGACGACAGGATCGAGCTCGGTGTTCCTGCACGGCTGAATCTTCTGGTGCTTACCGTGCTTACCGATATCTGAAAAGGAAAATATCGTCGATTCGTGATGAAAGGATGAAACGAGAAACAGATTACGAAAGGAAGCGCTTCCCTCGCTCGGAGAAACGTTGCCAATCCTTTTGTATTCCTTCCTTCTTTCTTTGTTTCTGGATTCCTTTAGGCACGACAGAGCAGCCATTGCCGCGATTTCTCGGCGAGGCACGACTCGCATTAACGATTCCCGTTCTTCCGTCTTACGGAGCGAAACCGATAAAAACGATCAAGATTTTCATTCTCCGCTGGGAAAAACAACCGCGCAGGCTCGTTTCGTTGCATAATCCGGCTGAATATTTCGCAATTTACGGTGTTTCCTCTGGGCGAATTAAAGAAGCGAGAGATGGAGGCCAAGGAAGTTTCACGAGCAAGAGCAATACCGAACCACGGTTCGCCTCGATTACTCGCGTTGCAACGATCGACAACGATGGAAATCGAACACGTGCCGTTTATAGGGAACTCGACACCGGACCTGCACGAACGACCAACGATCGAAATTACAAGGTAATCCGGGTAACTCTCGAAATATTATTACGCGTTACGTAAGCGAGTTCCACGCGATCGTTCAGACTCGCTCGAGTTGCGTGCGATCTCGCGCGTGCATTCAGCTCGGTGTAGAACGCGATACGCGATACGCGATACAGTTGGCACGCGGTATATACCGATGCACGGTATCCGGTGTACCGTATACAACCGCCAGTTAAACATCGACGTTCAACGTCGGGAGCAATGAGCTTATCTTCGGTGACGCACGTGAGTGCACGCACGCGCTCGCACGCATGCGCTCGCGAGACCCAACTCGCCCGTGTGTAAGCGACCGTGTAATCGTCCCGCCAGCCGATGCGCGCGTACACAAGCTCGTCGGCAAACACGAACGCGGTTCGCGTGTATCGCGTGTATCGCGTGTATCGCGTATACCCGCGCGAATCCGCGTCAATGCGCGCCAATGAGCGCGAATGCACGATGCGGTACAAAGAGGCCTACGCCCTCGTTCAAATGTTACGCGCGGCACACGCTCCGTACCGGAGAACCGGTGAATCGTACCTTTCCTATTCGATACCGATGCCAAGTTTCGATGCTGCTACTATCCGCGCCGAGCATCGTCGCTTTGCACGCGCTAGCCTAAAAAGGTTAAGTCAAACGGATTTCCTTTCCGAGCAAATTACATCCGATACTAAATCTCTCGTTTCTCCGTTCGTCTCGTTTACTCGAATTTACCGAGTAAATTCCATCTCTTATCTCCGATCTCTTTCTCGCTACGCTGGAAATCGCGAGTCGCGCAGGATCGAACCTAGAGAGCCGAGCGAGCAGTGTACTAGAGGTCGGCGATCGAAACTCAAGGCAAATCGGGATTTTGTTCGCGTATTACGCAACGAACAGCGAGATCGGGACACAGGGGATGTCTTTGGCGAACAATGGCGCAGGGATATTACGAAAGTGGAATGAAAGTTTGAGCACGGAATCTTTGTACTCTTCGAACCTGCTGTGTACGATAATGGTGTTCGAGCGGTGTGTTTTCGTAGGAAATGTTCGTTTAATAAAGCAACGTTTCGCAATGCACTCGTGCCTCTTTTAATCGAGCACGATCAATCACGAGAGGGATAGTACCAGGCTATGAAATAATGCCGTGGCAACGAAAATTCTCCAACCGACGCGTTCCCTGTTCGCCGGTAAAAGTATTTCTTTCCCCGGCGATGCAACGCGGCGAAAAGGTCAAGAGACTCGATCTTTTCTTGCTAAAGGAACGGCAACTTCTGACGAAAGGCATCGTACGAACCGAGAGAAAGAACGAACGAACGAACGGACGAGGCACTCGGCTGAGAAACGCGCGGTTGGATGTTGGATAATTTCGCGATCTCGTTTATAGGGGACGGGCGTTTAGACGCTGATCGAAATTTTCACGCATCGGGCTGTAAAGTAGAATTCGGTGTCTAGTACGACGAAGACAGAGAGAGATCGGTGGAAAAGATTGAGATGCGCGCTCGGACTAGTCGAACCACGAGAATGCTTCCGTTAATGGACACGGTCGATGACTTTAAGGCCGAGAAAAATCAAGAGCTGACAGTGCACGTTAGAAAAGCGCTTTCCATTGGCGGTGCTTTCGTGAAAGTCCGTTCGATCATTCCTGGTTCCGCTAGAATAGAGTCGAACGATAATCGTCGAACCGTAAGAATAGATCGTAAAACTGATAGTACCTTGCCGATTTTCGACCCCCACCGATGGACCCCCTCGCGCGATCGCGTCCTTTCGTCATCATCGGGCAACGATCGACGTGCGATCGACGTGCGATCGACAGGTTGGCATTTCTCGAATTTCCAGATAAGAATAGACGCCGATCGAGAATGTCCAGACGTCGCGGAAAGAAACGGTGTCATCGACCCACGGAAAGAATCTACCAAGTTTCATTGGCTCGCTTGGTTCCTCGTGACTTTCTTGACCGTTATTACCGTTATTCCAAACGGCGGACTACCTTTCGAAAAGAGCAAGAATCTAGGAACGAGTTCTGCTTGCTTTAAATTACAATCGTTTAGCAGTGTGCCGCCGGTACACGAAGCACGTGCGTGCACCTAAGCATGGCGGAGCAATCGTTATCTCTTTACCGACCCTTATCTACCAGCGGCAACGACGAATCGTTTTCTCTCGTTTTCTCTCGTTTTCTCTCCGGTCAGAGGTACGCGTTTCGCGCCTTCCAATCACCGCTCTCTTTTATTTCGCAACCGTGTCCTTTGCGAATAATTGTCTCGCGAACGAAAGCCCGTGCAACGGCCGGCAATTTAATTCGTCCTGTCTTGGAACAATCGCGAAGCGCGCGTGACAAATGTCAGTCGCATAATTCGAGCGGAATGCCAATCGTCGGATCGGCTGCTACTAGCGAGGTAACGGTATATCGAGAAGAGAGAAGATGACGGCCCAACCCAGGGTAACCTAACCCAGCTAACAACGCATCGTTCTTTGTTCCAGTCAACCTAGTTCTGCCTTCGAGTGCGTAGGTATTCGGCATGGTACGCCGCATCATTCGGGGTCAATGGAGAACAAGGTCGATGCGTCTGCGGAGAAACGACGCGGCGCGACGCTACGCCATGCCACGCACCTTCCAATTAACGCCCGTTCATCCTTTCGACGGAATCCTCTCGGAACGCGAGCGTTACGGGATCGAGCAACGTTTCTTACGTCTCTTGCGTCTCTTGCGCGTTTCTTTCGCGTCTCGCCGTTCCGCGTCAAAGGTGATTCGTCCGTTTGCGCAACTTATCGGTTTGCCGCAGCGTGCTCGAGTAATTCGGTTAACGACCGAGCGCAACGCAACCACGAATATAATTCCCGTAAAATAACCCGCTTCGGTTTACGATTCCTCCGCGCAGATCCCCTTTTCCAGTCTTCTATCGCTAAGCGTGTTAATGTTATTCCGAAAGTTTCTCCACGGAGAAACATCGTTCCGCGTTACACTTTTGTCCGAGACAATGGCCATTTCTGTCGGCGTTCATCGTTTCTCATCGATTTTACGTTTTCTTCTACGCCCGATTTCACACGGGGGCCAACCGGTTAATTAACCGCGAGACTCCAGCGAGATGGTAACGAGGAAAACGCGTACAGGGGGAAAGTGCGCCACATATTCGTCTCACCTTCGAATCCCACGAGCTCTTACGCTTGTGTTCCATCGAGACGGTCATCTTCCAGCCGTTGAAACGATTTCCTTCTGCTCCATCAACGTTTCTTCGGTATATTTGCCGCGTGAAGGCGCACCAACGTCATCGTGAAACTCAATTTCGTCTCGTCTCGTCTCGTCTCGTCTCGTTTCGTTAGTCTTTGTCGACTATCGCGGGATATCGATTTACGCTTTTAGTTTCTATGCACTGCACCGAATACCTCCGATAATCCTTTCCTTGCCAGGCAAAAACCTTTATCCGACAAGATTAGTTCCATGTACTTCCGCTTCCACTCTTTGCCCTCCCGTTCTGTACCAATTTAATATCGTTCGATTCTTGATACCTATGCAAAAAACCAGCAATTACGATACATCCAAGCGCATACACACACACGCGTGCACATACACAGACACACACGCGCGAGTAATTACGTCGCGTAACCTGTAACCGTGTTATTAGCAAGTTGGCGACACGAGCGAAAAAAGACCAATACACGCGATCCGAGGTAACGCGATATTCGGAAAGCTTATTCGAAAACGGCATTTCACACTGCTGCGTTTACCGTTCCGGTGCTATCGCTTTCCACCACCAGTCGTCTTAAGGCAAAAATCTAACTTTCCGTTTAAAACGCGTACAAACCCCGCTCTCTCCGTCACTTTCTTCTCTACCGATCTTTTATCTCGAAATCCAGCCTCTCCGCGAACAATGCGCGGCTATCGGCCATCCGCTGCCAAAGTGTCCGCGATCGCGCGATCTCGGAGAACGTTCACCAGGGACAGGTGCCGCACGAGAGTAATCGTAGCTGCGCGAGTAGTTTAGACTCGAAAGGGGGCAAAAGTAGCCGAGGTGTTTTGACATTCGATTATATAAACAGTTCGATCGTCGAGGCGCTGGCGAGGAACAATTTCTTCGATCAAGTCGGAGCCGACTACGAGCCAAGGAGACTGTCCCGAATGAAACCAGACTGCCAGGGGAACGGAGACCCGCTTGCTAGATTGCTCCTTCGCTTCTGGATGCACTTTCACGTCATTACCGGTTCTCCACGACGCGACACGACGCGACACGACGCGGCGCGCCGCGACGCCGATCCGATCGTTGCATCTAATTTACACGCTTCGGTAGAAATCCCTGCGATCCACTAGCTTTTCGTCTTGCCCGAAATTCTCCAACGTACGCGCGGTTTCGTTATCTTCGATTCGCCATGAGGTGACCGACACGTGCAATATCCCAGATTCGAACGAAACTGCTCGCGACTATGCTCCACTCCACTCCGTGTCACGTTCCAATGTGAAAGGACACAAGAAAGAGAAGAAAAAAGCCAATGGCACATATATTTTTAACTTTAACCTGTTTTCAAGGAATTTCACTGTAGCCGAAACCGCTCGTTCGAATTAACATTTCAAGGGTAACTAGTTTAATCTCGAATTCCCTCCAATAACTTTCCTACTTACTGCCTTTCTTATCCTCGAGACAAGCGATTGTCAATGAACTTAATTCTACGTTATATGGCACGTTCTCGACATACGGGTGGACTATTGAATTTCAAGGGTAGATCGCGGATGGAAATTAACGCTCTGTTCAGCCAGTATCGATTTCGATTACGAATAACCGTTCTTACCGCTTTCGTTTCGCGATTACGATTATTCAACGTATCGCGTAGGGTATGCATGCATCGCATCGAACGCGAAATAATGAAAGAACACGCAGGAAACGTGTATCGCGTCATGCCGTCTAAAAGATACGTTAAAACGTCTAACGAAAACAGAAAAAGAAAAATAAAGAGAAAAAAGAAAGAGGAAAAACATATTTTTACGAATACAAAATGAACTAAAAGAAAGGGAAGAAAAGAATATGGAACATGTAAAGTATAGAAAACAAATAAACGACACAAAAATGTAAAAATGATGCACAAAATAAGAATTAGAAAAGTAGTAAATGCCAAAATGTCAAGCTTACCTTTGCCTTTTTCGTTCTTTTCTGCGCGTGTGTACGTAAATCTGTTGATAGTCGATCGTTGGATTTTCGATTTGTACCACTATATAGGATTCCTTGCTATTTTCTCCCCCTCTCTTTACGTCACGATACGACTTTGTTATCTTACGGAAAACGATGCGAAGAACGTGATACGATGGAGATATTCAGGAAAATCCACGCAGCATCACCGTTTCGTTTCGCACGAAAATGCCGACTGTTGTTCGATGACAGCTGTGTCGGTCGCACCGGAAGCGTTTCCCTCTTCGACTGCCGGGAACGTTAAGTTGGCCTTTCACACTCTACGAAGCAACCGTGTGCTCGTCAAGGTGATCCTCTTTCTTCGTGTCACAGAAAGAAAATAACCGTTAACACGGCACAGCCGAACCTTCGAGCAGCGAGGTGTACGCACGAATGTGTACCGCTCGAGTCTCGACCGTCGATTAATGACCTGAAGAACGTACACGCGCCCTTCTCCGTTGCAGGAACGCTTCGGATATCGCTTACCTGTTCCCCGACTAATTGTTTACGATTCCAACCGTTGGATCTTACTTTGTACCGAAGCATCCTCTCCTCCTTCTCCGACTTCCTCTTTCTTTTCTACCTTCGTAATAGAACGATGCTTTACTTTCTTCGTGTTTCCCATTCACGTGATAAAAGCGACGTTAATTCGTTATGGGATACGCGTGTGTGCGGTGCATGTCCGAGTTTCTATGCACATACCACCGTACGAACGGTATGGTAAAACTCACCGAGATACCGATGCGTATCCGACCGTTTGCCCATTTACTCGTTTTATAGACTAATACGATGGTCGATGAACGACTCGGTCGCGAGGGAATTCGTAGAAATCTGAGCTAGGAATTCGTTCGGAGTCGGCTTGTATGGTCTAGCGTGGCAAGTTGGCATGTCCCAAGAAGGCTGTGACCCGGTCGCGTGTATGCACCTTCTCTGACAAACTCCAGCCAAAGGGGAAAATAGAGGTGAGAATGGAACGTCCAGTACAATTCGAGTACTTAATCGTTCAGTTTATTCGTCTGGACAATTAAATGATACATATACATGGTGTGTATGAATTACGTGTCTCTCACTTAGGTCTAATACATCGACAGCGATCAGAGGCGCGTACAGAGCATCGAACGAAGCAAAGTACCGCCACGATTGCGTAGCTACGTTAATGATAATAATAAAAATTAAATGTAACTACCCTGTAAAATACGTAATGCGAAAGTTCATTGATATTCATTTATATTTATACTTGATTGTAATTCACTGATACTCGAGAATGATACTATCGTTTCGGGGTTAGCGGTATAAATAGGTAATCGCTCTCTGCAATTCGGCAAGTTTCAACGTCTCCATGGAAATCTACGATGCGACGATTACCCGGATAATTGGCAATATCGGATGGTATTCGGCAATGTGGAATAAACGATAACGATCGTTCCATTCGCGGTGTAACGAAGCGCGTATCCGCGCCAGACGATACCGATTGCATTCGCGACGCGTAAGAAAACGGTCGTCGTGTCTTTTTCCGTTTCGAACGAGATCGAAGTAAGTTCGACCATGGGAATCCTGACAAAGGTATCTACGCTTTTTAGCGTCTCGAAATTTCATGCTCCTACTTGTACATTTGCACGAACACGCTTGTAAGAGTAGAGATATAAGATGGAATATTATTGTCAGTTAGCTATCGTCGCGATACGCGAACTCGCGTTGACGTGCGAATTCTTTATGCATATTTCGTGGAAAAATAAATTCCGTTTCGTTATGTCGACGGTAACGAGACGAGATGATGTCGATAGAGATCGATATGTCTAATTCTAAGATTTTCTTACGTGTCGCGATTATTATAGACGTTATCTCACAAGTATCCGCGTCTCTTTGGACTATGAGTCAAGGGCTAGTTATCGCATCCTCGACACTGCCCCCTACTGCTGGTCATCGTCGTATCGTAAATTTTCTCCGAAATTTGCGAAACTGTTAAATCATCGACAACGATTACCTATTTATACCGCTAACCCCGAAACGAGTAATTTCTAGTAATAGTAATTTCAATACTAGTCTCAAAGCTAGTAATTTCAATACTAGTCCGTATTGAAATTACTTAAGAGCCTCACGGGTCCGTTTCTCTGGCGAGATACGATGCTGGCACAGTTTCAGAGATCGGTGTCGTACCAAGCTGCAACCTGGTTATTATCTTGTGGCGGTGCAGGAAGCTCTCCTAAATGATCGAAACTCAGGTCACCCTCGTGCGCTACGTCCATAGTGTCCATCGCGCCATATGTCGACCCTCCACCTATTTCCAACCCTTGCATCGAATCTACTGGTATCTGGTCATAACCTGTTTTATACAAAATTTACGGTAAACCCAACGTGCTTCCCTCGTAGCTCCTACTACGCGAATCGACAACAACTACACTGCCAATAATTCTGCTAATATTTTCTCAATCCAGTAGAGCACAACCTTGCTAAATATTCGCGACGTGTTTTATCGCTAACGTTACTAACATTACTAAACAAGAACAAAAAGACAAACGATTACTCCGAATCATCGTTCTCGAGAAGTTCATAATGACTTTCTCGCTTGTGACAATCGGTAAGAAAAGATCTTAATTATTTTTTATCTCGATGATTGATCTAGTGGCAAAGATGACGAGCGAAATGATAGCCACGAAAAGTAGCACTTGATCCAATATCAATTGAAAAATACGATTAGAAAGCTAAAGTTGAGTCGCGTATTCTGACCGATATACTTGAGAAAAACTTTCTTCGCGACACTTGTTTCCGTGACAGCACATTTTGACAAACGTATCTTATCTAATTACTTACGAATACTTATCTATGCTTCTTTCCACCATAAAGTACGTTCACTTAGAGGAAAGACGATAAAAATACAAATATTTCATGCATAAAACTTTATAAATATATTATTAAAGGGAAAAGAAAAAGAAACACGCTATGAATCTGTTGTGTTCTAGAAAATGAGACAAAGAGAAAAAAAATGAAAAAAGAAGAAAAAAAAAAAAAATGGACAACATTCACAAGACGTGCATTACGTGTAATATTTACCAAATTCAGTAAAACGTGTATCGTGGCCAGAGCATAGAATTCAATGTATAAACTATGAGAAGCGTGTAAGGTAACATTTAGCGATTAATAACAATGCAGGTAATAACAGAACAGTACATAAGAGCTGAGTGTCACCTATGTTACCGCGAGATACCGTTGATAGCCTGTATTTTAATATAAGTCCGTGGGTTAAGCTGCTGTTAAAATAACATAGAATTAAATGCATTGCTTTCCTATAAGTTTTTTTTTTTAATTTTTTTCTCTTAGAAATAAAAGGGTTATCAAATTTTTAATCTCGTATACCGCACATATAGAAAGAGAGAGAGAGAGAGAGAGAGAGAGAGAGACACGAACACATAAATCCGCATTACCATGACAAATTAATTCTCGATGCAGAAACGGAAGGAAACACATTTGTTTCGAAAAAGGTCTCAGTAGCGAATGATCTTTGGGTTACATTTATTACAAGACGTATCAAAAGTTTCCAAGATTGTACCGTTAATAACGCGGGAAGAAAATACCGTAAAAATTGATTTTTGTAAATTTATCCATAATCGATCGATCGATCGATCGTATCGTATCGTATCGTGTCGATCGACCGATCGATCGATCGAAAGCAACAATCGGATAAGAAGGATAAGGCTCTTAACTTACCTTGCGGTTGATACCCTCGACCTCCGTGGCTGCTGTGTACACTAGGGGGTCCTTGTCCATACATACCATCATAGCCTTGATCAGGGCCAAGCATGTCCTGAAGAGATTAGGTAGCTCAGATCAACACAAAACGTATCTTCTTTTGCAGGCGTGTCTTTAACAGCCGGCGAGGATACACGTCTAGATACTCGTGTCGCAGTATCACCGACAAGTCCGCGTAGAAAAACATCGATTAATGGCGTTACAAGGTACATAAAATATGAGTCGACGTGTGACGCGTTTATAGCGTTCGAAGGTAGTCGCGGATGGCTTTTGTTATTCAGCCTATGGGGGATGAAACACGAGTGGTGATTAAACGCATTCTCATGCATAACGTAACGTTACAAACTAAGGACCATAATAAAATCATCGCTGTACATTTATGACAGGTTCCATTGCTCCACTAGGCACGACCCTGGAGGGGCCTCCCTCCAGCTCGCTAACAACGAATTTGTTAATTTTGAAAATCAATTCGAACGTATGAAATTTTTCAGCGAATAGGAAGGGTTAAAGCATCGATCTGAAATGGGAGTTATGATGATCACATACACGAACACGAAATTTGTTAAAATATATATCGACGATACTTGAAAGTTTGTCGTCAATTTTATGCAGTACCTGGGCTTTTAGTGTCACGTTTTCGCATATTGTCCGATTGAATTTTCGTAACGTACCTAAGTTGTGCGAACTGGAATAATGGATAGTGACATTCACTTTTGCAAACTATTTAAAGTTATACGTGTCTAAACTTACATGAAGGGGGACATTACGTATGCAACAGTACCTGTTACTAGTCAGATAAAATTACTATATCGCTATTATGCCCTCGTGGCTCAATTTACTTAACACGATGTAACCAAATTTATAAGAGGAAATTGATACTTCAGCGAATTAACTTACGAATCAATGACGAACTGTTTCACGAATCGGCTTACACACGCTTCATCCCTAGAGAATCTATTCGAAAGCTAGTATATATGGTATATAGCATGTACTAAAACTTTATCGCAGCAGCACATGCCGCTAGATGAAAACAAAAAAAAAAAAAACAATCAGGGCTATGTTACAAGGTGTTTATAAACAAATAAATTTAACCACGGCATAAGCGAGGACATGCATCGATATGAAGTGAATTACAGTACCTGTAGATCTGGACCCATCCCAAAGTCAGCGTTATTCCAAACGTTTGTATCCTCGCGCAACAAAGAATTCGTGAGTTCCATGGAGAGTCGTTTCTTGTATTCTTGTGGTTTATCTTCGCTCATGCGGAACAACACAGCTGCGGCGTAAGTCGCGACGCCTTCGTTCCTAGAGTGAAGCAACTCCGTTAAAGGAGCAGTAGCACCTTCTTGTTCGATCATTTCAGCACCTTCTTTGTCCGCAGCAAGTTCGCATAGTACGCCAGCTGCGACGCGTTGAATGTTCTCGATCTCGTTGAACAGTAACTGCGACGGAAAAATATTAACAGATTAAACGGATAATTCCAAGGGGCGCAAGTAAAATCTGGACAATATGTACGTATCGTGTTTACAAACCTGTACGAAAATCGGAATCACGTTCTGAGATCTGATAATCATCCTATTGTGTGACTCCCTCGCGAGAATATGAAGCGCTCCTACAGTGCCTTCCACTATCTCTTCCATTCGTACACCGCCATCCGCGTACGCCCCGGATGTTTGCTGACTTCCAGTGCTTGCCACGGATGAGCGTTGCTGCTAAAAAGGAATCGATTTGTTTACACGCGCTTCGGCTTTACATCACCGACATACGAAATTATTTAGAAAGCGTAGCGTGTCTTACCCGTTGTGTCTCGGGGAAAGCACGCATCAGAAGCCTGACCAAATGATGAATCGCGCCGTGGTCACGAAGTGGGCCGTGATTTGCAGGACAGAGTGCCAAGTTGCGAATTAATCCTATTACCGCTTTAACCAATGGCCAACGCGAAGGCGGGTGCAAAAGTTTTACTATGACCTGAATTCCATAATTTAGGCGGACAGAATTCTGTGCCATTTCTGCTTCCACGTGACGCGACGTTAAATGACGAAGCGCGCATACTGCCGGCTCGCTTATCTCTTCCCGACTATCCGCGTAAATGATCGTACGTACAAGAGCGTCCACACCTCCTACTTGACATACGGTTACTTTGTTACGTTGATTATTGCAAGTCAAATTCGACAATATACCAGCTGCACATGTAACGACATTTACGTCGGTAGAGCTAAGAACTTGTACAAGACTCTGTAACAAACCCTCCAATCCGTCGACTTTGGTGCCAGCGTCCGATAAATTTCGTAACGTCCACAAACAATTCTGGACGAGTCTCTGGCTTGGATTACCAAGATGCATCGCAAGTGCTTGCATACCACCAGCTTCGACTATCACCGGTTTATTACTAAGACAAACGGACAACACTTTCAAGGCTCTCGAAGTCGTCCATAGAAGCTTCTCGTAATCGTATGAACGCATAATGCGTACCAGCTCTATCGGCCCTTGAGAAGCTAATATGATTAATTTGCTCTCTTGATTGCCGTATGCAAGAATTTGTAAGCAATCGGTTACTATAGCTAAAAATTTCACATTGTCTCGCTGAAGTAGGGCAACCATCTTTTGCAGTCCTCCGGCAAGACGTACAGCCATCTTAGAACCATCTTGATGTAAAAGCAAATTATGAAGGGTCGTGATTGCGTAGAATAAAACAGATTCCATTGGAGAACTTAAAAGCTTCACGAGGGCAGGTATACCGCCGCTTTTGAAAATAGCCAAAAGGCCTTGTCTGTGGTGAGACAAATTGTGCAATGTACCGACTGCAGCCTTTGTCGATTCGAGATCGTCGCTATTCGAAATGGCACGAACTAAAGCAGCTACCATTTGTGAACTGTTCATAATGGCGTGACGTGATGCTTCCTTTTTCGAAAGTTGATGAACTACCATCGCTGCCTTAGACACAACAACTTGGTCCTCGTCGTTTAACAATTTTATTAATTCAGGTATTGCGCGTGTTGCAAGATCTGCATCATCTTGATAGTTTATCAAATTCACAACTGCGTGCTTCAACATTTGACTCGGTTCTGCCAATCTTTGAACAGCAGTAGGTTGTGCTGGATCGTATTGCGTAGAAGGAATTTCTATACCTTCCTCCAGTGTTTCTGGAAACATTGCTGCACGAACACGTTGAGATCTCGTATGATTCAATTGCTGATTCATTTCATCGACCTGATCCTGAGTGAAACCCTGTGCGAAACCTTGATCCAAATCAAACATCAACTGATCGCCCTCCATCTCATCATCCTCTTTGCCGGATAAAGACGGCGCTTGAGTGACAGCGCCAGAATGTATTCCAGAATCACCCATGTAAGAATTCTGCTGCCACATCAATGTCTGTTCTTTGGCAGAACCCATGGGTAGATCACCCAAACCTTGATAGTTACCGTGAGACACTAGAAAGTTAACGACACAATGGATATAATGGAAATCTTGCACGTAGCCACTCTGCGCGTTCAATGTAAACATCACTTACTTGGTCTGGATTGATTCGAAGACATTTGATAACTCATGGCTCCTACGGGAGAGTCTATCCACACCTAAAAGTAACAAAAAGCCATACTGTACAGGTTGTAAAGTGACTCGTACTGCTAATGAAGCCACCACACGTGTCAAAAGTTATGAGAAGGGGAATAAAAGGAATCGTTAGTGCAACTGTGGGGTACTCAAGCATGGGAAAAACGTGTTTATACGGTATTTCGAACGAGTCTGGTGTAGTATAAATAACGTGGCGAAGAGTAGAAAAATACAGTACGAACTGGAATACACCACTGTCGACTGGCACAAGTCTAACAAGAAAAAAAATTTCTTCGATCTCACGAAGGAAAGTTTAGTCTCTTCTCGTTCAAAGTTTCGAAGACAACGCCACAACGCGCGTAGGGTCAGTGCACTGTATCGCGAAGAATGGAAGGAGGATGCAACTACACGGAATGTGGGCACGATCGAAAGATTCCTCTAAGCGTTCTTGCAGCTTCCACTTTTATCTTGGAACACGAGCGGGGGACGCGCTGGTTCGATCGAATACGACAGGAAATCGTATCTAGAGGTGGACACGAGGCGCGAACGATGCTTGATTTCCAAAGGTAGAGGGACGCGCGTGGGCGTGCGGCACAACAAAGGCTCTGAGAATGCAATGCATCACCATTTTCCGAGGATCCACGAGCGGCGGAGAGTGGAGAGCGGAGAGTGGCAGGGAAGTGAAAACGGAAGGAAGGGGGCAACAAGAGAGCTGACTACGATACACTAATGGAAGAGGGAAAGGGAACGAGAAAAGGAGAGAGAGGAAGAACACTTTGACACACCCAGCGTAAACACCGCCGTCACGGAAATGACCAATTTTTTCCCCTATCGGTCGATGTAATGGCGAATGATAAAATTATACTGTGCTTACCGTATCGCGAGGATCGACCGAAGGCGATTTCGTGAATCGTGCTCGAACGAAGACACGAATGACTCACTACCTTACGCTCGATCCACCAAATTCCCTTTTGCCCCCGACGCTCAATCCACCTATCTCTTCTCCGCACGCAGCTCTTGGCCTTTCTTGCCTCGAATCCGTCAACTAAAGATGGCGGAAAACGACGCGGAACCTTCGATTCTACCGCCACCTGTCGTCTGCACTGATTCGAGGTTGCAGTGGTGCTCAATATCTATAATGCAACCTCGATTAGCTGGTTGTCCGTAGGAGAATATTTATCGATTTTTACCCCTTGCGAATACTCGATCGTATCTAACTCAAACTCGTTTACTGCACTTCCGAGAATTCTATAACTAATTTAGTTCCCCTTATTCCCGTACCTCTCGTAGCTGACGTGTACGTTCGAATACAAGAATTGTAGCTACTCGTTGCATCCTGAGTTTAAGGTTATAAATCCAACACGAACGGAAGGAAAAAATATTCCCATCGAGAATGCAAGGTATTTTCGAGTCGAAATCGATCGATTTATAATTCGCGCGATTTCCGAAGTATCGTATACGGAAGTAAATATACGAATACGACATACACGGTGACCGAAAAAATGGGAGGGGGGGGAGAGAGAGAGAGAAAAGAAAAAAGGAAAGGAAAAATATGGAAATTAAACCAATCTGTCGGTACGTCAGACGAAAATATGCCAGATGGTAAAACTAGCAATACACTATAATGTCTCGATATCTCACGTACGAAGACTGAAGGATAATATCCTGCAGTCGAGGAGATCAATTTCAATTAAAAGACAATTCCCTAGGACATGGCAATTTTTTAATGGATTCGTGGGTATTTGTCCATCCACGGTAGTCGAGAATTTCTGATCGAGTTCAGGAGTAAATCGTGCAGCTAGACAGCTAGAATGCGCACAAAATAACAGACACTGGAGTCCAAAGTAAAATATACTGGCCGTTTGGCGGGAACACCATTCGTTATCGGCTGCGCCCACGCCGATTAATTTTCGGATGCGTGATGGCGGTACCGTTCCTTCCGTTCCGTACAGTGATGATACATTTTATGTCAACGCTGATATTGAACGGATAATCGGAAAAAAGGAAAACGCGTTTTGAAATACATCATCGTGCCGATATTGAAATATCGAAGCGCAAAGCTTCCTGGAATAAATTTATGCCCGTTCTTTCAATTAATAACGAGCAATAGCTACATTTTGCATAATTTGAAAAATAAGGGAAACGGTTTAACGTTCGATTTCATTTCGCGCGTACGAAATCTTGATCGATTTACCGTAAATATTTGCGATATCGAACGTGCTAACATTCGGGCATCGTTATTCCAATGATTAGAATCCGTAATACGTCGTATATATATATATATATATTGTACGCACATACACACACACACACACACGCACAGCGAGCAATAAGATCGTATAGTTCGAGAGGTGGTTGATATTTCGCGATGGCCGGCTTATCGGGACAACGCGTAAAGGAGCGTTTTCTTTCAAACGAGAGAAATTATTATTTTCGCTAAACGAAAAACCACGAGTAAAATATATCCAACAGGCGGACACTTTTACGATGATTCATCGTACAAGAGAATACACGCTGCTTTCTTTTTCACGAAACATTTATTTATTTACATAAGATTCGACTACGACTACGTATTCTCATCGGTTTCATTTATTTATGCGCCTAAAGGGGGGATCGCGTAGCCCACGCTTCGCTATATCGAGGATACTGCCCTCCTTAACAAGATCGAGGAAAGCGAACGTTCGCGTAAAGAGCAGGCGCAAAGTTCGTTGCGTGGTTGACCGATCGTTCGATCTACCTATCGATCTACCTATCCATCTATCTATCCAACCATCTATCGATCTATCTGTCGATCTATCGATCGAGCGATCGAACGATCGATGGATCGATGGATGGTTTAAACGGTCGGAGGAAGGAGGGTCGCCGACCGACGTAGCTAGTTAAGCGTAAAAGGATCGAGCTTTCGTTCCGCTCGTTTACTCGGCCGATTCTTTAAATTTCGCACGGTCTTCGAAAAAAGCAAGGCACCGTCTTGAAGGCAGACCAGGTAGAGAGCATAGAGGGTGACAGATGCCCGTTCAACGGTGTGTCTCCCCACCTACGCGGCATGCTGCTGACACGAGCGTTTATGTCTGCATAAATTCTCATTTGAGCCCCGATAATAAAGTAAGCACACGAGGGGGACGGACACACGTTGCCCGGTTCGGCGAGCACAGGCTGATACATAGATCACCGTTGAACGCGGGGCAAGAAAAGGGGGAAGAGTCGGGCAGGGTTGCGAGAGATAGAGAGAGAGAGAGAGAGAGAAAGAGACGGGGACAGAAGGGATGAGGAGCTCAAGGGGCTGAGAGGTTCGCAGGGGTGGAGGGACCAACGATGGCTAGGCATATATTTATGTGTATCTATATAAGGTACACACGGGCACACGTTGCCTCTCGAACGAGTCACTACACAAAGCTGGACGCACGCACGTACACAAGATTCTCGAGATGCAACGTGCTTAATTATATGCATTCTCAGAATCTGCGCTGCTCTCCTGCGTTTAATGCTCGTGTATTCTGCAATGCTTCGTGTTTACGCGGCGAAAGGAAGGATAGTCACCGTATACCTCGTTTACCGTTCCATCCTGCGAGAGAAGGGCTAATAGGAGCATATCGAAAGTCACGATTATCCTGCTCTTCCGTCATCTTCCATTATTATCGATGTCCTTTCCCACTCGAGATACACGTGGAACAGCGATTCGCGCGACGACTTTGCGCTGTCGAACTTTGTTATTCCATCACGAATGATCAAGCACGCGCAAGTTTTGGCTAATTTTCCCGAAAGTCTGAGCCGCGAAAAGGTAGGAATGACCATTCTCGTCCCGAGGGAAGAAAACGAGTCAACGACAGAAGTTTAGCAGACACAGTCGTATCGTCTGGCATGGTTGATGGAGTAGTCTCGTGGCTAATGTCGAGCGAGGATAGCGAGTACATTCAGCGTCAAGGACGACGCCGACGACGACGACGACGACGACGACGACGACGACAAAGACAACGAACGATACCCGATTCATCACTTGGACCAACGTAAGGGACACACGCAACTTCCAAATCGCAAACAAGTCAGATGCGCGTGGAACAGTCACTATGCTCGTCTTCGCGGTTTCTTCGAATGGCAGTGGAGAATGGCAATGGGGACTGAGAATGGGAAATGGGAATCGGGAATGAGAATCGTGGAACGATTGCGAATTAACGTACTTATGGGCGGTTTAAAAAAATGAGAGAGGATAGGAGTCCGTGAATGAGAGACGGGTATAAGGCGGGCGAGAGAAGCGCGGCAAGAGGAGGAGGTAGGAAGATACGAGGGTAGCGTGGTACCGTGGTACCGTGGTACCGGGGCAGCTCGTCGAGATGGTATCCGGGGCGTGCCTCGTGTACCGCGGCGTCGTCGAATCGAAACCCTTGGCGAAGGTCATCGAGATCAGCGCACTCGGCACGTCGATCAGACGATTTTGTGCGGCACACCTGCGCTCAGGCTTATCCGGTCTGCGCTGAGCGGCTCCTCGCGCGCACAGCGTGTGGGTGCGGGCTGACAGCTCCTATCGGAATGGCTCGGATAGGTTATTGGAGGTCCTCAAATGGTATCGAACAAGGTTCTGCTGAGACGCGCGGGAGGGGTGATAAGAGGGAGCGGTTTCTCTAAGTATCGCGAAAGGCACGCATACTACGATCTACGGTACGCACACGGGGCCAGATCGGTGCGCCATATGAACGGGCTATGCGACGAAACGCGAGTGTGCGGTTACTAGCACGATTCGAGACTGTCTCGACTCGAAGGTACGTCGATTTCCGTACGAACGTATGCGCGACTCTCTCTCTCTCTCTCTCTCTCTCTCTCTCTCTCGGTCTGGCAAACGCTCGCGCGCGCGTGTATATACATACGCGTGTGTGAGCGTGTACGTGCGTGCATGTGTGTGTGTGTGTGTGTATGTGTGTGCGTAAGTCGAATGCACGCGCGTGTACGAGTCCGAGATTGGCCGGTCTACTCGATGCCGAGGGAAAAGATACTGCGGGACGTGGCCATCACTGATGAGCCAACCCACACCGTGCGACAGCGACAAACAGGACAGCACCGGGACAGGACAGGACCGTCTCGCTCGGTATCAGGACTGTAAATCCGGGATTTTATTCGCCCGGTATCGAGGTTTATAGTGTCCTCAGTGGTACGAGCATGTGTGCGTCGTTCGCTCGCGTACGTGTGTCTGAGTTATGTTCAACCGTCTCGCGGCAAGACGTTTGCATATCTCCGCTCCTTCGCTCTCCTATACGAAGCAACGTCTCCGGTGGAGACGAACCGAAGAACCTACCAGGGGAAGAGAAGAGCAGGAAAGGACGATCCACACCGCCATCCTCCCCTCGGAGAGAAGAACTCCGTTTACTTCGGTCCGTCATCCTCCGCCTCTGTTCGCGAAACGAGACCTTCCTGAAAAACGCGCGGTTTATCTTGGCCCCTGGTATCCCCCGTATACACCGGGTATTAACCGGCTGTCCGGCGAATCGAATTTATCGGACGGCCTGGCTTTATCGAACGCCCCCACTTAACGTCCCGCTTAATTAGACACCGGCCGACCGGTGTGCTTAATGACGGAGGAGTCCCGATGACGCCAGGACGAGCGCTCCTACTGCCATTCGATCCTCTTTGACGCCCTATCGC